AAAACAAGTTCACGTTGACCCTTTCAAGTTTCAACCGCCAAAGATGTGTAGCTCTACATTCTTCCTACGCAACACGCAATAGCCAATAAGCCAATAAATATAATAAGTTCGTAACTCTAGAGTATACCAGTAAACAGCAAATAAAAAAAAAAGATCCGATCAAGCACTCTAGAACATCATGTTATTTTTGGCATTCTCCCAATTAGTAAACCAAATCCAAAAGTCACGCACATTTCATTCACGGCAAGTTGCATTGTTACCTTAGTTATACCCTGAAACTTTAAAAATATATAATGCAACTATGCAAGTACATCCACCAATAAACATCGAGCTTTTATACAAGAACAAAAAAGCATCCTTTGAGAGAAGGACAATAAAAGAGATTAAAGTAAAAAAAAACAAACAAAAGAAGCAAGGCAAGTTGGTTGAGCCAACCAGAGCAACGTACGCAGCGCTGTCAATAGAAAACCTTCCAAATGGGCGGGTGACTCGGACGCGACGCTGACTAGAGCTAGTGGCGGTGGCCTCCGTGGCCATAGAGCAAAGGGGCTCGGAGAGGAACGAGCGACCGAACCGGTGACGGTGTCCCTTCCAAATGTTCGTGCCAGGTAGGCTCCGCTGCCTCGTCAGGGGCACGTGTCGTCGTCTCCGGCCCGTGGCTTTCTGACGGCGGGGACGACATGGATTGGGAGCCAAGATTTTGATTCGATGCCGATCTCGCTGTGGCCAGTCGATCGACCGGTTTATTTGGAGGAATGCAAAAGGAGTACTTCCTCCGTTCTAAAATGAAGTCATTTTTAAGGTTGGCACGGATATTAAGAAAGTAGATGAGAATGATTAGAGGAAGTGTGTGATTGGTTGAAAAGAGAAAGTATGTGAGAAGAATGGTTGTGATTGGTTGAGAGGAGGAGGTAGGTGAAGAAATAGCCTTATTTTAGGACAAGACACTGTGCTAAAAATAGCTACATTTTGGGACGGAGAGAGTACTTATTAGTCTGTGTTTGCAAGTCAAGTTTCCAACCTCCTCATTCACTCGCTTTTCACGCGCACGAATACCAAAATATTAAATGAGATGTTTTTTTTAAAAAAAACAATTTATAGGAAATGTGCTGAAAAAAATCATATTAACGTATTTTTAAGTTTATTAAGTTAAAACTTAATTATTCAGTGCTAACAAGTAATATGTTTTCCATGCACAAGAGGTTACCACCCTCTACTCCTAAACACAGGGTATGTACGTCCTCATAGGCGGATAGGCCTAGTTTGATTGTCCCAGATATTATGCTTTGTGATGATATTTGAGATTACAAACGAATGAACTAACTATATTAAAAGTCAAAACATTGATTTATAAAAGATATTCTACTCAATCTATATAAACATGGCTTTAATAATAGCCCCATCGTTTGACCTAAACAGCCAAAGAATAAGCCAAAATTTGAATTTTTGAATTTGATTTGGAAGTTGATTTTGAAATGCTTTTAACGTAATTTTTGTTAATGTTGGCTTTTAAGTCGCTACAAACAAATCTACAAAAGTTTTACTTATAAATTAATTTTAATTTTTTAATAAGCCAAATAAGCCATTTTGACCAAATGGGCAACCGATGGGAGCCTAAGTCGTATTGTTTATAAGCTTGGGAATTTTGTCCATGACAATCAGTCCAAATGTAAGGTTGTGTTGGCACTCCCGGCACGGAAAACGAAGCAGCGATTAGCACGTGATTAATTAAGTATTTGATTTTTTTTTCAAAAATAGATTAATATGATTTTTAAGCAACTTTTATATAGAAACTATTTGAAAAAAAACACACCGTTTAGCAGTTTAAAAAGCGTGCGCGCGGATAACGAGTGTGGGGAGTTGGGAACCCCCCGCTAAAGAACGCAACCAGTATAATTAGTCGTCCCTTTGTTTCAGATTATTTATCATTCTATCATTCATTTTTTTAAAAAAATAAAATATTTATCATTCTCACGTCCCATATTATTTTTTCTAGAGATGATCTTCCATCTCAACCTTTAATTAATGCGGGTATGCACATTTGTTAATTAGAGTTAATGCTACTTCCGGTAATAGTTGAGATGTAGTTAGTGAGGAACTAAGGATAATAATGTTGTCAGAGTATAAAATATGTCATATCACTTCTGTCATGGTTATGGATACCACATATATTTAATAGTAATCGAATAAGTTCGGCGGAACCCACCATATACCAAGTCTTACACGAAATCATACCTCGTATATAGAAGGAGTTCCGGATAAGAAAGGATAAGTAGAGTTCTATATGGAAACTATAAGTACTACTCGGATTGTATCCATATTGGTCTCCCTAGTTCTACTTGGATAATGGGACTTTTATATATACAAGACCCCATAAGAGGAGGGGGGATAGACAGATCAACACACAAGACAGAATAGACACCAACACACGCCGCCAAACATTGACATCAGAGATAAGCCTAGACAAACCCAATATGGTGCCTACGGAGGCCGACAAGAGAGATCTAGCACCATCTCTAATCTTGATGAGTTCGTACTCGAGGAGGAAGACTACCATGTCGTCGACTACGTGTTAGTTATCTATGCCGCAAAGTCGACGACAGCTAGATATGTTATCCCAAATATTTTACTTGTGCAATTTAGATGAATAAAGGGGGGTGCTAATGCGCGTGTACGCGCCAGCAATTTAGTTGGCGCACGCTTTTGTTTTTTATTTCGCCGTTTCTTTTCAATTCTTTTTCAATTTTTCACACACCTCTTTATAAATGTAGAATTGAAAGTTTTAAATTTTGACGTGAAAGATTTCAAATCTTGACTTGAAAGTTTTCAAATTTTGTGTTGAAAATTTTTAAATCTGGGTTGAATGTTTTCAAATCTGGGCTGAAAGTTTTCAAATTTAGGTTAAATTTTTTCAAATCAGGGTTGAAAGTTTTTCAAATTTAGGTTAAAAGTTTTCAATTCAGGGTTGAGAGTTTTTAAATCTAGGTTGAAAATTTTCAAATTTAGGTTAAATGTTTTCAAATCTGGGTTGATTGTTTTCAAATCCGGATTGAAAGTTTTAAATTTGAGTTGAAATTTTTTCAAATTTGAGATGAAAAGTTTAATGTTTTCAAAATTTGACTTCAAAAAATTCAAATTTTGAGTTGAAAGTTTTCAAATTTTGATTTCACGTATAGATTTCTTTTCAATTTGCTACTTAAAAAAATCTTAAAAAAAAGACAAATCTACAAATCTTACCTTAATTATGGTTATTATCGAAAACTAATTGGATTAGGTACGCATCACCGAAAAAAATCCAAAAAGAAAAAAGAAACAGCACCAAAAAAATCCCAAAAAAATTAATCCCTCCGTGTGCGCGCCGCCTACGCGCGCGCGAGTTAGCTTTCTCGTGAATAAAGAGCAACACCGGCTTCAGCCAACAGGAGTAGAGCTATTACCTGTTTGATAAGGGATCCAAACCTGTATAAAAATACTTGTCTCCATCTCTTTTTCTTTAATCTCGCATATACCCTGGTACCGACGATCTTCATATCATGCAAATACCGTAGTTGAAACCTCAAACGTCGACAACTTCGATATTGGAAAATGTTAAACGATCGTATAAAACACTTAGGCTGCGTTCTAGAGGATCCCGGCACGTAAAATAAAGCACGTATTATTGCATGATTAATTAAGTATTAACATTTTTTTAAGAAAATGGATTAATATGATTTTTTAAAACAATTTTCGTATAGAATTTTTTTTTCAAAAAGAACACAGCCTTTAACGTCCATTGGAAGATTATTCCAAGTTAGGAATCATATTTCGATCCGATAAGAAGATCTATACCTAATTTGAAAAACCTACGCTGCTACGGAACATCTAGACTATTACTCCTACTAAACTGGAGACTACCAATAATGTCTCTATGAGTACTCGAATACAACGAGACATAAGGTATAAATATACTCCCTCCGTCCCAAAATAATTGTAGTTTTACACTATTCATGTTTAACGTTTGACCGTCCGTCTTATTTGAAAATTTTTTATGATTAGTATTTTTATTGCTATTAGATGATAAAACATGAATAGTACTTTATATGTGACTAAATGTTTTTAATTTTTTCACAAAATTTTCAAATAAGACGGACGGTCAAACGTTGAACGTGAATAGTGTAAAACTGCACTTATTTTGGAACGGAGGTAGTACTACTTTCAGAGGGAGCTTAATAGAGACAACAAATAAAAAGAGATAACAACACCGAACCTTCATCAAACCCTACCAGGATTAATTCCTAGATCCGTACAGTGCCTAAGGTGTTTGACTCCCAATCATCCGACCACCGTCTCACTGTAATTTCTAAAGAGACCAAAAGATAGGTATAGGACAATGTCGAAGGCCGTGTAATAAAATTGTATATCTAATATTTCAGGACTAAGGGAAAGAGTATAGAAGTCCATGGAGATTTTTTGGTTATAAAAGTGGCCTGAATTTTGATCTAACTATACTACTAGCATTTTGGTCTTAGGCCTTAGCCATAAAGTACCTTCGACCAACAATTCGGCTTCCACGTTCCAAATGGCTTGCAGGCAACAAAGCAGAGCTGTACCAGCCCTTGCACATTTTCTTCCTGCTCATGCGGTCAAGCCGTTCTGTTATGGTACCATCTCATGATCGAATTTCGCCGGACACCGAAAACCTAATCCGTCTCTGCATGCAGAGCACAAAATAAATATGCACTTGCGCTAAACAAGCTCGATAAATACAGCGACTTTCACAAAAGGCTCCACACACAAATACAAAAAAGCATGACACACGAAAAGCTATGCGAGGGACCCACGCCCTCGCGAAAATTAGGTAGCCACCAGAGCTTTTTTTTAACGCAAAGCACTCTATCATGATGAGAAGATGAGGGCTGTTCCATCCATTCCAAATTCCAAAGTGCGGAATTAGAGATAGCCACCGAGACGCCTTGGATCTTTCTGGGTGAAAAGATGGGCACCAACCCTATAAAAGAAGCTTTCCCTCTTGGCATTTGGAACCTGAGCCTACCAGGGACAGACAACCACCGCAAATTGGAGGGAACGGAGCAGAAGGTAGCGAAGCGAACCAAGAAGTCTTCAGTATTCCTTCCTTGCAAGCATCGTTAATGGAGGGGTCAACGAGTCAAGACCATGTGATTGGGATCCCGGTGAGCAACACCGCCTATGGCATAGAGGAGCCGGACTTCGCAGCGGAGGAGACGACCACCCCTGATCATGCCGGTTTCGTTGTTGGTTCCTTCCAATTCAACAACGGTAAGAGTTCGTTTCTGCTTCATCTGTTCAAGTGAAACTTGATACGAATACAGAACATGTTTTTGATGATCCTATCGTTTCTGTGTTATTTCAGATGCGAATAGCCCGACGACGACGACGACGACAACCGATCGGGCGAGCAAATATGGCAGGAAGGGGGACAAGATTGCACAGGGCATCAAAGAACATGGTAAGAGCAATCATCTTTGATTTTTTCAACACGGAAGAATATAAATTTTGACGTGTTTGGAAAAGTAAGACTGATGAACTCGTCGTTGTTCCAATGGCTTACAGTGACCCTCGGGCCGAAGCTATCGGAAACGGTCAAGGGGAAGCTCACGCTGGGCGCCCGGATCCTCCAGGCCGGCGGCGTGGAGAAGGTGTTCCGGCAGTGGTTCTCCGTGGACAAGAACGAGAAGCTGCTCAGGGCGTCGCAGTGCTACCTGTCGACGACGGCCGGGCCGATCGCCGGCATGCTGTTCGTGTCGACGGAGCGGGTCGCGTTCCGCAGCGACCGGCCGCTGGCGGTGTCCGCCCCGGGCGGCGACAAGGTGCGCGTCCCGTACAAGGTGACCATCCCGCTGCGGAAGGTGAAGGCCGCCAAGCCGAGCGAGAACAAGCACAAGCCCGAGCAGAAGTACATCGAGGTCGTCACCAACGACGGCTTCGAGTTCTGGTTCATGGGCTTCGTCAGCTACCACCGCTCGCTGCACCACCTGGAGCAGGCCGTCGCGCAGGCGCGGCGATGACACGCACGAAGCGCGCAAGCGCGCGCACCCATGTCGTGGCGGAGCTCGCTCTCGATCGGATCGGTCTCTTCGTGTCGTACGCTTGTGTGTGTGCGTGCGTGCATCTGTGTCACTCTAGCTTGGTGATGCTTAGATGGGTTAGGATTTGTGTATGCGTAGGGTTGATCGATCACAACATGTCGTTGTGTGTTGGGTCGCCATGGCTGGCCTGCTGGTGGATTGATCGATCGGCATGCAGTTTTGCAATTGCATCCAGCAGGTTAGATATAGGCGGCTTGATTAGGGCATGCGATGGCATGTGATGTTTTGTGGGGCGTGTGCGGAATTGAAATTCATGAAGAAGTTGGATGAGAAATGGTTTCGGCTGCAAATCGGCAAATGGCAAAAGCCCCATCATAAGTGCATCGCGAATTTCTGATAAGATATGCCAAAAATGGAAGTTTCGCGATAATCTTCGTGTTCTTGTTCATGTTCCCTGTTCTGGTGATGATGGTGATGACATACATATGCAATTCATCTGCTTAATTCCAAATTCACACCGTGCAGTGAGGTGCTGGCAAGATTCAGATATCTTTTGACATCAACATGCATTTCATATACTGTACTCATGTAAGGCTAGGATTTCATCATTACATAGTTTCTGACATAAACTGGAATATCCAGGACGATATCGAGGTGATTTCTTAAGATTATTTATTGATTTGATTTGATGTCCGGCCAATTCCGACATTCTTTTGGTAGGACGAACTGTTCAATTCTGACCGAAAGAATCAGGTGTGTTCATGACATTTACTGTTGAAGTAGCACTTATACACCATCTCTACAGTTGGTACATATCTGACTGAAAGAGATTGAATTCAATTCTCCGCTTTCTTTGCAAACCTAGCCTGACTCAGGTCATTAAATTGCTGTACACAATATACAGTCCAGCCTGCAAAATTGGAGAAATTCAATTATCTGCTTTCTTTGAAAACCTAGCCTGAGTCAGGTCATTAAATTGTTGTAGACAACATTCAGAAAAATAGGAGAACATTCTTCCAGGTAGGACAATCTCATGTCAGACATACAAACAAATCATCAGACACATCGCCGACCTGCACAATATATTACTAACTTGCAAACTAAGTTTTCATCATCAGTACCAAATCTCCTTCTCGATTTTTTTTAAACTTTTGTGACGAGATTCTCCTCCACTTAGATACATTAATTCATATTTCAGGGCTTTCTGAACAAGAAATAAACTACGGGCAGCTGAATCCGTCAAGTTGGAGCACTGACTTTGGCTAAGCCGGCAATGCCAATACATCCGCAGCAGCGTTCAAATACTTGAAGGCTTAGCAACGAAGCGCCCAATGGCAGTGTCTTGTTTCGGGGCCAAGCAGGGGGATATGCACTTTGGCTTTTACAGATGCATTTGATCCGTCCCTTTTCTTTCAGTTATCTCAACGTTCCATCTTTAGCTGAACCATTTCCTTTGCCCTGTCGGATTGGACCATCGGGCGATCCTCTTTTGGAATCTTCGCACTGCTACCGCTTATCGGATCAGATGGGCTTTCGATCAGCTCACACCCTTTCATGGTTTTCACCCCACTATGAGGCAAAAGCTACGACGAATCAGTTTATCTCTTGCCTCCGAAGTTATCGGCTCGGCTACCACTACAGTGAGGACCGGAGGAGCACCAGCGCCAGTGGGATAGGATATAGGAACACTCACTTCACAACTTCAGAAGAACAGACTGAAAATTCAGAGATAAATATACAGGCTTTGGATATTCAGGACACAGAAAATTCAGGCAACAAAAAAAGAGCAGGGAAAAAAATATGGAAATTCAGCTCTGATTCATCAAAAATGAATGATTGGAACAACTTGTGTCTTGTGGTGCCATCAGAGTACTACTGACAGTCTGGAAGAGAAGGCCATGGCACTTGATTTTAACACCTTTTTGTTGAAAGGACGGCCATTTATGTATCGAAATGGTTCCACTCCGGATATTCCGAACATGTACTGCACTGAATTGTATCACAAGGACTGAAAAAAAAATGCACTACTCCTGCTACTTCTCGAAACCGATCGAAACGCAGAAAAAGAAAAATAAGAGGAGGAACGCAACTGATGGACCGCGGACAAGGACGGCAGTGCGTCCGTGCCACTCACTCGATCACTTGCCCTGTCAGTCTATCACACACCGTATCGCACGCGTGCATCCATCCGAGAGCGAGATGCACGGGCGCGCAGTCGCGCACGCAGCCAAGCGGAGCGGAGCGGACGGGCGAGCGAGAGCGAGAGCGAGCGGCCGTGCTGACTCGGTGCCGCGCGGGCCTCGACGCGGATGCGCGCGCGCGCGGTGACTAGCGCGCGACGGTTGGGCGGAATGGTAGGCGATCGATGGGAGTGGATGGAGACTTCGATTGGGAGGGAAAACTGGATGGAAAAGGAGACCATATGCACCGGTCTACGATGACTGTTGCGCACTTGGGGTTGCGCGCGTCCCTGGAAAAATCTGAGATGAGATTGTCCAGTTTTTTTTTTTTTGGGCTAGCTGGAAAGGTCGTTGTTTTACACGTTGGATCATCTTGCGTCCACATCACCCGCGGGGCCTCACTGTGTGATCCGCAGCAGGCCAGGGGAGAAATCTAAAATCTGTGTGATCGATCTGAACATGATCTCTTTGACAGACGCAGTTGATATTTGGACTATCATAATTCATAAATCATCGTATACGCGCTTGTCCAGTAGATTTGTGTAGGCGAGACATCTAAATCATATACTAGACGATTTTGATATCTAATAAATCGTATAGGATAACACGCCTTCAATTACACTTGGATACTGAAGCTAGTTTTTATTTCCAGGGAAAAAAAACGAACGTTACGTAAAAAATAAAAAGAAAAAAAGAGAACCGTCCATTCATCTATTGATCATTGTATCATTCCGTATGTAACCCGTTGCCATGTTCATATAAGAACACTACCAACTACTTCAGTTTTCTGAGACCCAAAAAAGGGTTCCTGGAAAAGCCTACTGGCAGGTACTCTACAGACTACAGAAAAAATAAAAAGGACTAACGACCGATCAATCGATCCAAAACTCAATATGTTTAAGATCCCTGGGCCTGGATCCCTGGCGCCCCCACCTCCTTTTTTCCCATAACCCGGAGCAACAAGATTGTGCGAGCACATGGGCTGCCCCTTCCAAAGTGGCAATGCCAAGCCATCCACCACCACCACCATGCATCACCACGTAGACAAATTCAATCAACCGGCTACCCTCCCGGCTGCCGAAAGAGAGAATATCCTGCGCCTCGCTCGCGGTTCGGTTCTCCGGTTGGGCGCCGGTCGATCGGTCGCGCGCACGATCGGGAAGCGGAAGACACAGCCCCACGCACGTAAAGCAGAGCAAGCTCTCTCAAGCTCGGGCACTTTTGGCGAACGTGGACCGCTTGCTTTTCCGGGCGCCGATCAGCAGGTGCTGACTCCGCGCGGGGACGAATCCGCTGCCCTTTCCGCTAAAGATTTCGTCACCTCGCCGGCTATAAAACCCGCTCGCTGCGCCTCCGCTATCCCTCCCCCCTTCTCCTCCTTCCGCTCTCTCTCTCTCGCCCGCGTTACAGCTTACGGGCTAAGGAAGCGAGCTTAGCTGTAAGCGCGGTGCCGCGGAGAGAGAGCTAGCCATGACGAAGTCGAGCTGCGCCCATGTGGTCGGAGTGCCCGTCACCTCCAAGGCGTACGCCATCGAGGAGGCGACGACGGCGAGGGACGGTGGCAAGAAGGTCGACGGCGACCGCCTCGCCGTCTCGTTGACGCACCCGAGCCCGTACACGTCTTTCGGCTACAAGCACAGTACGTTATTACCTCCTTTGATCTCTCAAGATTATAGTTTACCGTCATGACTGCACGTATGTACTATATGTTTGCTAACGATCGGGTTTCAAATTTTGTGTTTCGCAGGCAGTAAGCTCCAGGTGATCCACTGGGTGAACAAGCTGGGCAGACGGGCTCAGGGTTTCAGGGATCATGGTGAGTTATCATGCATGCATGCAACCTGAATGTTTAAATTTCAGGCTTTGAGCGATCAAAAACATGTGCGTGAGCACGTTGCTAACCTATGCTCTGTTTCGCCATGCGTGTGTGCAGTGACCTTGGGGCCGAAGCTGTCGGAGACGGTGAGGGGGAAGCTGAGCCTGGGCGCGAGGATCCTGCAGGCCGGCGGCGTGGAGCGCGTGTTCCGGCAGGCCTTCTCGGCGGAGAAGGGAGAGCGGCTGGTGAAGGCCCTCCAGTGCTACCTCTACACCACCGGCGGCCCCATCGCCGGGATGCTCTTCGTCTCCAACCGCAAGATCGCCTTCCGCAGCGACCGGTCACTCGCCGTCACCTCCCCGGCTGGCGACGTCGTCGCCCGGGTGCCCTACAAGGTGGTGGTGCCCCTGAGGAGGATCAAGAGGGTGCGGCCGAGCGAGAACGCCGACAAGCCGGAGCAGAAGTACATACACGTGGCCACCGTCGACGGGTTCGAGTTCTGGTTCATGGGATTCGTGAGCTACCAGAGATGCTGCAAGTACATGCAGCAGGTGATCTCAGAGCTGTAATATGCTTATATATGTAGTACGGTGCACGCATGTGGTATTTGGCTGGCCGGCCTCCTACCTTGTGGGTGGCACTATATAGTACTAAAAGCAAAGTGTATGGGCTACTGCACGGCAACCTCTTGTTGGAACGTACGTACGTAGACCTGAACTGCTCTACCAATTTTTGATGAGAGCGCGTTCCTTCCTCTTGCGATTTGGCAGATCGACGTGTGGCCTTTGCAAGTACAAGTACTCTATGTTTGTAACATTGATGAACCAAGGAACTTGGTTTTACTGAATGAAAAATATCTTAATTCTTCTCTCGACGAGCATCGACAACGAATTGAAACATTGCATTTTCGGCCTTGAAAAATAACTTACCTAATTCAAGTCACTGTCTTGCTCATCGAGATTAGTTGATATAGGCTAGCTAGAATAGCTAGCTTGCTCCCCATTTATACTCGATGTGAGAGAACCCTAGATCAAACATATAAGCTGGAGTACGACTATTACCAACCTTAAGGTCCGAACTATTATAAAATCGCTTTCTTATGTTCTCTTATTTGGTGTTCATGTATACATTTGTATCAGTCGTCATACCCTGCATTCCTTAAATATCATTAGTGCATTTCATGTGTGAGCTATGGTCACGGAAGGAGGAGTACTGGGTGGAAGGGATCGCATGGCAGATAATAGAGAGAGTTCGTCGGGGCGAGTGTGTTCGGGTGTGGCTCTAGCTGGAGGACGATGCTAGAGGGGGAGAGGAGATCGTGGGAACATAACACGATTTTTGGGGACGTGAATCCGATGCGATTCGAGGGAGCATCTGACCATGTGTGTGCGAGGAGGGGCCGGGGGAGGGGTGAATGGTCATGATGAATGATGTTGCTGCATTAATTATAGGGTACATTACTTAAAAAAATTATATTATGTTAACCCTCATAAGTGGACATATCGATTTCATATTAATTGTTTGTTCTTAAGTTTTTTCATTTATTACATGTCAAAAAGTTTTTCTCATTTATTATGCGCCAAATGGATTTTTCATTTATGTACCACAAACATATATGCCTTTTAAATGTTCCTACATGCAAGAATAAGGTTCCATTGCATTTATGTGGAGAACACATAATAAATGTTAGCAACTATATCATTGTCCATATAAACCCATGCCATTGAGGCCTTTGCAACAACTCCTTCGAAAACATATCGTTTGATCCATGGGTCTAGCCATGAAACATCTTTTCCTCCTCCTTCTGCCGCTTATCATGATCTTCCTCCCATGCATCGCTTGCGATGCACCCCAACTGGTGTATGATGCTGGAGGCGAGGAGCTAAGTAGCGAACACAAATACTACATCTTCCTGGTAAATAATAGGTCTGGTGGGGGTGCCCTCTCCATCATCTATGCTGGCAATACACATTGTGAGCATTTTGTGTTCCATAGGACCGATGAGGCTCTCTAGGGCGCAAAAGTGAGATTCACATCATTGCACAATTCAACAGTCAGTGATGCAGTCCGCTTGTCGACCGATGTCCAGATTGACTTTGTGGACATCATCTGGTTGTGCAACCGCCCCTCGACATGGTACATCTCTAATTTCCAACTGAAATTGTTACCAATGCCACCATCATCGTCAACATCTAAGTTGCAATATGTCGTGGCCAACACAAATATAGAGCCTAACTACCCATCATCGGCTAAAGTGTTCCGCATTGAGAGGTACAGTGATGATGACAATATGACGTACAAGCTATTGACGTGCATTACCCATGGGAAGCCTTGCAAATATCTAGGGTTTCAGGTCTTCGGGGATAATAAATTCCTAGTGGCAACGGACGAGCCATTAGCAGTTCAAATCGTCAAGGAATACACATGATTTATGCAAGTGCTTATGCTTATGTTATATTCTAGCATGTACTTGTAGTTTATATAATGTGCGCCATATAATCTATTTGTGATGGATCAATCTTAAGCTGTTATTTCTTTTGATGTGCGAAATGTTGAAACTTTGTGACTCTTAAGCTGTTATTCTATCAATGAATAAGGGAGAATAGCTACTTTAGTCCCTAAAGTTTCTCTATAGGATCAGTTTAGTCCCTAACCTTTTAAATGGTCCAAAAAAATCCTTAACCTTTGTCATAAGGCCTAGAATAGTCCTTGGGTCCACCAAAATCATCATATGGATATGCCATGTCATCATTCATGCAAAATCTATGATGAATTGTCCAATTTACCCTTACGTATATCATAGAAAAATAAATATAAGGGTGAATTAGACATAACCATAGGAAAAAAATACTTCTTTTTTTCACCCTTTTGAGGTATATTTTTGCTCTTACAAATACCATATATTTTTTAAACTTTTTCCTTTTGTTTTTTATTTTTCTGTGCGTAAGGGTAAATTGGACAAATCATATAGATTTTGCATAGGAAGGTGACATGGCATGTCCATGTGGCATTTTGGTGGGACCAAGGACTATATTAGCCCACATGACAAATTTAAAGGACTTGTTTGGACAATATAAAAGATTACTGACTAGAATGACCCATGAGCGAAACTTTAGGGACCATATTAGCTATTCTCCCAATGAATAATATCTTTAGAAGTTCTAATTTCAATTACTAATCATGAAAAATATATACAAGTATGTCAATGCTTTTGGCTGTGAAAAAAATATATTAATATATTTTAAATTTTGGCAAGCAAATTCATCTTTTCAAATCCAACAACAAACATTTGAAAGCAATCAAAAGGAGTTAAAGGCAGCAGCGGCCAAGTACAATCCACTCTTCAGGTCAGGCATAATGCCAACTGGTGTGAATGATACAACTATTGTGCTTATACCAAAGATTGATCAGCCGATGGAGCTCCGAGACGAGGTCTGTGTAATGTAATCTATAAAGTGGTATCAAAATGCTTGGTAAATAGATTGAGACCCTTTCTAGATGAGCTGGTGTCTGGTAATCAGAGTGCTTTTGTCCCAGGACGCCTGATTACCGATAATGCTTTATTAGCTTTTGAATGCTTCCACTTTATTCAGAAGAACAAGAATCAGGGAAAGGCTGCCTGTGCTTACAAACTGGATTTGTCGAAGGCTTACGACCGCGTGGACTGGCGATTTTTGGAGCAGGCTATGTATAAATTGGGATTTGCTCACCGATGGGTTAGTTGGATTATGACTTGCATAACCTCGGTGAGATACTCGGTCAAATTTAATGGATCCCTTTTGAATACATTTGCTCAGTCGCGTGGTTTGCGTCAGGGCGACCCGCTTTCACCGTTCCTATTCTTGTTTGTTGCGGATGGCATGTCCCTACTTCTAGAGGAGAAAGTTGCTCAGGGTGAGCTATCACCGGTGTATGTGTGCCGCCGAGCTCCTTGTATTTCGCATTTGCTGTTTGCAGATGATACATTGCTTTTCTTCAAAGCAAACAGATTACAAGCCCGGGTGATTCACGGCATTTTGGGTGATTATGCTGCAGCCACTGGACAGTTGATTAATCCGGCAAAATGTTCGATCATGTTTGGAGATGTCTCTCCGACAGAGATCAAGGATGACATCAGGAATATCCTGCAAATCGGTAGTAATGCTTTTGAGGACAGATATCTGGGTTTCCCAACTCCGGAAGGTCGAATGAATAAAGGTAAATTCCAGCCGTTGCATGACAAATTGTGGAAGAGACTAATCCAATGGGGGGAGAATTATTTGTCGGTGGGAGGTAAGGAAATTCTTATTAAAGCGGTCATTCAAGCTATTCCTATTTACGTGATGGGTTTGTTTAAGCTTCCCGACTCTGTCTGCGACGACTTGACAAATCTTACCCGCAATTTCTGGTGGGGAGCTGGGAAAGGAGAAAGAAAGACCCATTGGAAAGCTTGGGATCATCTAACCCGACCTAAACTTTGTGGTGGCCTGGGTTTCAGAGACTATCGGTTGTTCAATCAAGCCCTCTTAGCTAGACAAGCCTGGCGTTTAATTCAGTCACCGGAGAGTTTGTGTGCACGGGTGCTAAAAGCGAAATATTATCCAAATGGCTCTTTGGTGGATACATGTTTTGCGAGCAGTGCCTCCCCCGGATGGAGGGGAATTGAATATGGCCTTAAATTGTTGAAGAAAGGAATTATTTGGAGAATTGGAAATGGTCGATCTATCCGTGTCTGGAGAGACCCATGGGTGCCTCGCAATTTTACCAGAAGGCCAATCACTGGGAAACGTAATTGCAGAATTAAGTGGGTTTCTGAACTTTTGACAGAAAATGGCGCTTGGGATGCTATAAAGGTGAACCAAAATTTCCTCCCCATTGATGCTGAGGTAATCTTACAGATGCTGATTTCTTCTAGAGATGAGGAGGATTTCATTGCTTGGCATTCTGATAAATTCGGAAGGTTTTCTGTTAGAAGCGCATACAAGTTAGCACAGTCGTTGGAGCAAATGGAGGAGAGAGCTAGTTCAAGTGCTGCATCCACAACTATCCCTTGTAACCTAATTTGGAAATGTAATATCCCTCAGAAGGTTAAAATCTTTGCATGGAAGGCAGCTACTAACTGTTTAGCAACTATGGAGAATAAAAAGAAAAGGAAGATGTAATCTTCAGATATCTGTGTTATATGTGGCAGGGAGAAGGAGGATACAAGACATGCGCTCACCAGGTGCCCACTTGCTCGTGCTCTTTTGCAGGCTTTGTAGGAGGATCACTGTTTCATTTCCGACAATTTAGCTCCTACTGATTATGGCCATTGGTTGTTTGATTGCCTGGAGAACCTGGCGGATTCAGGGCGTTCTCTGCTCCTGATGGTGCTGTGGCGGAACTGGTTTAGTCGTAATGAAATCATGCATGGGAAGTCTGCACCCACGATTGAAGCGTCTAAGAATTTCCTGCTGAGTTATGTCAATACTCTTGGAAATCAAACAGCATCCCCAGGTTAATCAGATGAAGGGCAAACATGTGATCAATTACTGGGGTTTGAAGAAGGATAGTCAGCAAAGACTGTACAATGGAAGCACTACCGACTGGGAGAAGCCGCAGCAAGGTTGGATGAAGGTTAATGTTGATGGGTCATATGATGCACAAACGGGGACTGGAGGTATCGAAGTGGTGCTTAGGGACTCGGAAGTAGGGATGGCAATCGGGCGCGACGGGCACGGGTAGTGCCTACCCATACCCATGCCCGTGAGATTATTTGTGCCCGTGGGTATACCCATTACTACATGACGGGTAAGAATGGTTGCCCATGCCCATTGCCCGCGGGCGCCTTATGCCCGCGGGCGTGCCCGTTTACCCGCCACAACAAAAGCAGTGGAACAAAAAGTCTACAAGCTACTAAGTTCGAATCGAACTTAAAACATCAAATATTCTCCGCCTCGGTGTCGTGTCTCTCCTCTGGCGGCGATAGAGTAAGAGGAGAGAAATAATAAGGGAAATAAAAGGGAAACCGTAGAAAACAAAGAACGTGGCTTATGTATTCTAGTGGATTTTGCTCCTAGCCTACATGTAAGTTAGATTTCGCGGGTAAACGGGCAAAGCGGGCATGTGTAGTGATTACCCATACCCATGCCCATTACCCATCGGGCATAGCTTTTGACCCAATAAGATATCCATGGGTATAAAATAGAGAACAAACCCAACCCTAATAGGGTTTTTACCCGCGGGTAAATGGGCAAACGGGCACAATTGCCATCCCTACTCGGAAGGAAATGTGATTGCTGCTTCCTGTAAGCAGCTGGCCAGTTGCCGGAACGCACTTGAGGCGGAACTCCTTGCTTGCAAAGAAGGAGCTGTCCTTGCGTTACAATGGACTTTCCTGCCGTTTGTGCTCGAAACGGATTGTTTGGTGGCAATACAAATGATCCAGTCCAAGGAGAAGGATATCTCTGAATTAGCGTATCTTATAAGAGAGGTGAAAGAGCTTCTTGGCAGTAATAGAAAGTCAAGATCTGTAAGGCTCTGCGTAGCCAAAACCGGGTTGGCCATAGTTTAGCGAATAAAGTCCGGTGTGATTCTTTGTCCGGTCTGTGGACTGGGAATGGCTGTAATTTCATTTCACGGTTGGTCTGTGAAGACGCCGTGTCTAAGTAATATATGCCTTTTCCCCGAAAAAAAAAATCCACTCCTCACACTTCCTCAGTCACGCGGCCTCATCCTGCTTCTGCTCACGAAAAGAGAAAAATCGGAGGAGGAGAGAGAGAGAAGAGGGGAGGGGCAGAGGAGAGGGAGGCTCTCTACTCCTAGCACTGCCCATGTCGGCGGCATCGTCGAGCGGCGCCGGCGGCGCCCTCATCAACGACGTGCTCACCGACGACGTGCTCCGCGCGGTGCTGGCGCGGCTGGTGCCCGAGGCGGAGCGGGACGCGTTCGGGCTCGTGTGCCGCCGCTGGCTCCGGATCCAGAGCTCCGATCGGCGGCGCCTGCGCGCGCGCGCCGGCCCGGCCATGCTGCGCCGCCTCGCTGCGCGCTTCCCCGGGATCCTCGAGCTGGACCTCTCCCAGTCGCCGTCCCGCTCGTTCTACCCCGGCGTCATCGACGACGACCTGGACGTCGTCGCCGGGGGCTTCCGCAATCTGCGCGTCCTCGCTCTGCAGAATTGCAAAGGTGCGACCTTAATCTCTGTACGACTGTAGCCGTCTGTCAACGCTGCTTGTCCGTCTCGATTAACAAACAGCAATTGGGAATTCGGATCAGAAAAAGGGTACTGAATAGTAGGATTTATGGCTTACCGGTTCTTTCCATCTGCTAGATGGCAGAAAGGTAAAACTTTTTTTTGTTCCTTTTTTTTCTTGTCTCTGCTAAGCTTGTTGGAATCGAGATCGACTGTTCTTCTTTCTTCTCAACCTTCATGCTTTTCATTCTTTTCCAACATGGCATTGTGCTGATGTCTTGCTTGTATCATTTCAGTTTTGTGAATTCAGAACTGTTTGCATACATGGGAAAAAAAACTCTGCAACGTTGTAAACCACATCTGATGCATAGCTGCATATGGTTCGCTCCCGGACCAGATGTAGATAGTAATGAACTAATGATCCTTGGTTTTGTTCGCCGAAGAACATGCCGCCCATTGTGAAGAGGAACGCCACCTTTAACTACCTTACAGCCTCCGTTGGTTCATTTCTGGAAAAAAATAGCCTGAACTTTTGAAAAAGGTTAAAAGCAGCACTGATGATCATCTCTAGTTTTGCTAGTTTTCATTCTATTTGAATAGAGACTAGGGAAAGCTGAGAGCTATATAATTCCCCACTAGGTGTGTTTTTGTATAACAATATTATTCATCTAAGAATGTGATCCTTTCTAATGTTCCCTGAGAGGCTGAGATAGTACTTAATATATGCTAGTTTTCTATGACTTGAATGTACGATTGCTGCATGAAGCTGCTGTCCTAGGTTTTGATGCATAATGCAATGATACTCAGAAGCGAAATCAACATCTTCTCAATGTTCTTTTGGCTTTAGGCATATAATTTAGAGAATGGACTGAAGCCTTTGGTGTTTATCTTTTCTCGAATCTAGATGGATGTTCGAAATTACATGTAATGCATAGTTAAGATTTGAGATTTTGGTACTATGTTTGATAAATTACCCATCTATTAGTCATACCAGTGGCTTTGTTTTGTACTCCAATTAAAAACAAGCAAACTCTGCTTAGGTCTGAAACTACTGTTTTTATTATCCCTTGATATGATGATAAATCCACTGATATTTGGACCGCTCTTGTGTCTCGTAGGTGTAACTGATGTTGGAATGGCAAAAATAGGAGATAGACTGCCCTCTCTGCAATCCATAGATGTTTCCCACTGCAGAAAGCTTAGTGACAAAGGTCTAAAGGCAGTTTTACTGGGGTGTCAAAACTTGAGGCAGCTGGTCATTGCTGGTTGCAGATTAATAACTGATAATTTGTTGATTGCTCTATCAAAAAGTTGCATACATTTGGAAGATCTTGTGGCTGCAGGATGTAACAACATAACAGATGCAGGGATCTCAGGTCTAGCTGATGGTTGTCACAAGATGAAGTCACTAGACATGAGCAAATGCAATAAAGTCGGGGATCCTGGAGTCTGTAAATTTGCTGAGGTCTCTTCATCGTCATTGGTATCATTAAAACTGTTGGATTGCAACAAAGTGGGTGATAAGTCCATACATGCACTAGCTAAGTTCTGCCATAACCTGGAGACACTCGTCATTGGTGGATGTCGTGATGTTACTGATGCGTCCATAGAAGCACTGGCTTTTGCCTGCTATAGCAGACTAAAGTGCTTAAGAATGGATTGGTGCTTGAAGATAACAGACTCCTCACTGAGAAGTCTATTGTCTAACTGTAAACTTCTTGTGGCTATTGATGTGGGGTGCTGTGACCAAATTACAGATGCAGCATTTCAGGATATGGATGCAAATGGATTTCAATCTGCACTGAGACTTCTGAAGATCAGCAGCTGTGTTAGGATCACAGTTGCAGGAGTCAGGAATGTGATCGAATCCTGTATGGCCCTTGAGCACCTAGATGTTCGGTCATGCCCTCAGGTCACAAGGCAGAGCTGTGAGCAAGCTGGGCTGCAATTTCCTGGTAGCTGCAAGGTAAACTTTGAAGGCAGCTTATCTGAGTCTGATCCATCTGTTGCTATATTCTTTTAGGACGATCAATAGCGTCCCATAATTCTTTTCTAGATTTCGCCGAAGAACTTGAGAACTCATCATGTCAAAATGTACCTGATATTGTGGTTGGTTTTGGGCGTGTGTTGCACAATTTGAGGTAGAACTGGATGATGCCGTGGATGAAAAAATGTGCAGGTGTGCACTGTTCAATTCTCATGTGCTGTACCTGTAGTCCTGTACTATGTAGAAAGTAGCACACTACAGATTCTTGGAATCTGTTGGTTAGTACTTAGTAGTTAGCTTTTGAGAATATAGAGAAACTGGCTTCTAGTTCATGATTCTACAACTACATTTTCTTAGAATTTAGGCGACAATCTGGATTTCTTTGGGTGAGCCGAATATTCCATGAGAAACTGCAGAAGCTTCTCAAACTAGACCTATAAGTTGTGCGCTGTACATGCACGTTATAGGGAAATGCTGCTTGAGGTTGATATATACTCTGATTTATTTATTCGTACACATTGTGGATTTGTGGTGCCATGGCTTTTTCGGCTGTCAACACTCTGTTAGATCAGAGTAAATTTGCAAAAAAACGGAGAACCATCGAGGTTTTTTTTTTCAGCCTTTATCGTCTTCTTGCAAGGCTGACGCCTGACGGTCGCCATCGACGCGCTCCGACGACCGGCGCCGCCTCTCCTCCGTGCTTTGTCGCCGGCGCTGCTCCACCGCCGCCACACAGTCCGCTTCGGTTCCCCGTTTCCGCCTGTGCCGTGGCCACCGAGAAGAATTTCAGCTGCTAAGGAACAGAACAATATGCTACCAACCACGTAAACAAATGTGAAAAAAGTTAGTTTTGAGATGCAACGTCGTATTTGAGGTTTGAAACCTCGGGAAGTACATCAAAAAGTCGTAAACAAATGTAAAATATTCTGATATTACAACATCGTATTTTGAGATGATTTTTTTCGAAGGTACATGTTATGGTGTTGCACTCAGAAAAACAAATTTAGAACTTTTATATTCTATTACAACGAATTTAAATAGACTATATGATTCAATATATTAGGATATGTCACATTCCGTCATAGATTTATTGTTTTTATGTTGGTAGCACAGTACACATCACGGTTCCGTAGCACCTGATATTCTCTCCGTGGGCCGTGGCCACCTCCGTGCTGCTGCTGCCCGCTTCCACAATCTGGGCTAGCGGCACCAGTTAATGGGCTGGGCCGGGCCGGCCTCTGAGTCCTCGGCGAAGCCCGTGTGCCTGACACACTGACCATACGACTACGAGCTCTTCTCCTCAACCGGATAGACGAACGTCAGCTAGCCGCCGGCTTCAGGCTAAGCCCTAAACCCGCGTCTCCCCCCTCTCCGAGTCTCCGGCGCGGAGTATCCGTCCGCCCCGCGCGCAGGTGCAGCTCGCCGGCTGGGGCTCGGAGGTGAGGCCTCCCTCTCTCTCTCTCTTCTTCTCCTTTGCTGATCGGTTACGTCCTCTATGCTTCCAGTTCCCACTGGTTGTCTGGTTTGGACCGGAGATCCAACGGACCTGGATTGATTTCTTTTTGTTGGTGGTGAATTCCAAACTTCTTGAACTGATTTGGTTCTTTTTTCTGTTATCCCTATCCATGATGTCCATCCAGGTCAAGCTCCATATGAATTTGTGGGTTGATACATGGAAATTTTAGTTACTGTTCATTATTTGGGCTGTATTATATAGGAAATTTGGAGGTATTTGAAGCCTAAACCAAGCCAGCAACTACTGAATGTAGAACTCGTTATTTGGGTTAATCTGTTACCACCACAAACTAGAGTGTACTCTAGAACTAGAAGTGAGTCAACTCGATTGATGCCATGCGACCACAGACAGACTTCTTGTGTCTTTCTTTGTTTAACTATGCATGTTGGAAATTCTACAGTTTATATGATCCAGTTGTTTGATTCTTTGCACAGCCAAGAGCATCCCCTCGGGAATTTGTGATATTAGTTGGAAGGAAGGATATTTGGCTGTGGTAAAACTGGTATTGATAAATAGAGCACAGATGCGGCTAACTGTTGGCCAAGTGCATCGACATGTACTTGCATTGGCATCTTCTCGGTCATGCTTCGTCCTTGGTGATCACCTTCCATTCAGAATGCTTTCACTTCCACGAGTGGTAAGATTTCACCAAACCGCTTGGCATGATATTCAAACTGTGGAAGATAAGAGTGGTCCGCTAACTCTAGCTAGTCTTGAAGTGCAAAACAAAGTTGAATATGTTAAGAAAGAAAGAGCAACACGTACTGGAGGCATAAAGCCATCTTCAAGGGCTTCAGCTCTTAATATGAAACCAAAAGTTTCTTCATTCAATGCCAAACCAGTAAAGAGTGCCTTGCCGAAATCAGCAGTACTGAAGAAGACTCTGAAGATAGATGAATCTCTTTTTTCTGCAAAATCATTTGAAGAACTCGGTTTGCCACCTTTGCTTATAGATAGGTTGAACAAGGAAGGTCTTACTGCTCCAACTGAGGTCCAGTCTGCTGCTATTCCTATCATTTCACAAAAGCACGATGCAGTTATCCAATCATATACTGGCTCAGGGAAGACACTTGCTTATCTTCTCCCTATTCTTTCTGAAATAGGCCCTCTGAAGAGGCCTACAGAACAAGACAGTTCTGATAAGAGATCAGGTGTAGAGGCAGTTATTGTTGCTCCTTCTAGAGAATTAGGAATGCAAATAGTGCGAGAAGTGGAGAAGATATTGGGCCCTAATGATAAGAGACTTGTCCAACAACTTGTTGGTGGTGCTAATCGTTCGAGGCAAGAAGAAGCATTGAAGAAGAACAAGCCAATTATTGTTGTTGGGACACCTGGTCGTATTTCTGAAATTTCAGCAGCCGGCAAGCTACACACCCACAGTTGCCGCTTTCTTGTACTGGATGAAGTTGACCAGCTTTTGTCTTTCAATTATCGTGAAGATATGCATAGAATACTTGAACATGTAGGAAGGAAATCGGGTACTTCATCTAGAGATATTCTTGGCCCTCTTGCAAGGCGGTCTGAGCGCCAGACTATCTTGGTTTCCGCAACGATACCATTTTCAGTTATACGAGCAGCCAGGAGTTGGGGTCACGATCCAGTCCTTGTTAGAGCTATGAGTGTTGTTCCACTTGAGTCAATTACTGTTCCAAGACCTGTGCTGTCCCAGCCAGATGCCAACTCCAACTCTCCATCAAATTCAGTGAATCAAGCTGCAGTTGACAGCTTACCACCATCTTTGGAACATTACTATTGTACATCCAAGGCTCAACACAAAGTGGACACTTTAAGGAGATGTATCCATGCTCTGGAGGCTCAGACAGTAATTGCATTTATGAACAACACCAAGCCATTGAAGGATGTTGTATTTAAGTTGGAGGCCCGTGGGATGAAAGCTACTGAACTACATGGAGATCTTGGAAAGCTTGCAAGGTCAACTGTCTTGAAAAAGTTCAAGGATGGTGAATTCAGAGTTCTAGTTACAAATGAGTTGTCTGCCAGAGGACTGGATGTGCCAGAATGTGACCTTGTGATTAATCTGGATCTTCCAACAGACTCAACACACTATGCCCACAGAGCTGGCCGAACTGGCCGTCTAGGGCGGAAAGGAACTGTGGTCACAATATGTGAAGAAACCGAAACATTTGTTGTAAGGAAAATGCGCAAGCAATTAGCTGTACCCATCAAGCCATGTGAATTCACCGAAGGGAAGCTTCTTGTTCATAAGGAGGAAGATGTAGAGTAAACTATGCATTGTTCAAATGAATTCATCGAATGGCATTTTCATAGATTGTATTTTCTTTAAATGTTGTCAATTAATGTTTTTTGGTCGATGCAAAGATTCAGATAGAAGGAATGGTTGTTATCCTGGAAACTTTTTCCTCACGGGGAGTTGGTACTCCTCGGATCTATTATATATTTCTGTTGTCACCTTCCTATGGAGATGTACTGTAATGTGTAAAATGACTCCAAGAAATTACAGTATATGCTAGCATTTCACAATACTGGCATCTTTCTTTATTCTGTAGGATTTTTTTTAATTGTAAAAAACAAGCTGCACGCGTATTTGAAAAGCTCAGCTAGACTTACACCTGAAAAAAATCGATGGAACAAATGAGGTATGTTTCACTATAAGTAGCTGGCAGCCTGGCATCATGAACGGTTGATTTTCTGGATGTAACTTGAGCTATTCTATATTCTGTCACTCAAGAGCTGTGTTGCAGGCTTGCAGCCCCTTCAAAACAATAAAAAATAATAATAGAAAAAAGAGCTGCATTGTTCTGGAGGAGTAAATGGTTAGCAGTAAAAATCAGTTTAACTTATGAGATCATAAGCGGCCCCTATAGCTCAGTGGTAGAGCGTCAGTCTTGTAAACTGAAGGTCTGTAGTTCGATCCTGCATGGGGGCAAATTTTACATTTTTACAGAATTTTTGTCACTCTATCCGTCTGGCAGTCCCTGCTCAAGTCCAACTTCAAAAGCTACTTGCTAGTGGAGGGGAACTGTCTTGGCTTCAAACGAAAACAGAAAGGCTCTCGACAAAAGAACAAGTTTCTGTATTGCTCTTACCACCGGAGGTCCCAGCATTGCATTACTCTTCTACTTAACAAAATTTGTCAAAGTTGGTTGAATATACAACAAAGGCCTTGTTTAGTTCCAAACTTTTTCTTCAAAATTCCAACTTTTCCATCACATCAAAACTTTTCTACATACATAAACTTCCAACTTTCCATCATATCGTTTCAATTTCAACCAAATTTCCAATTTTAGCGTGAACTAACACACTCAAAGATTGACTCCACTGTCCACCAATTCTTCACCAATTCGTCAATTTGAGTAGTTACAGATATTCCAATGCCACAGGGAAGTCGCATGTCATACATTTAGTGCATGTGCAACTTGCTCTGCAGCCTGTGACATTTCAGCACGTAGACAGTGGATAAAAAAGGCTTGACAATAACTGTTACAAAGACAGCGGTAACAGCACCAGCAGATCTGCTCATGCTCATGGATTCTCCAGCACGTAGCAACCAAAACACTGTTTACTATAGTCTTGCAGCCTTGCCAAAGCCTGGCTAAATATACCCTCAAGTGAAACATTGTGCACCACACAATAAAGTAATTGCTAATTATATTTGCTTTCAAGGCCAAATCCCTGTGTTTCAAATGAGGCCTGAAATTTTGAGTTCGACCATATTCACATGTTTCTTGGAAAATTGCAGAGGATGGTAAGTTAGATGGTAAATAGATCACTACTTTGAACTACAAGAGGATTCTGTGGAAGCAGAAACATGTTGTATCCACAAAATGACAAAGAAAAATGCAGCTGGGCAAGCTTTAGTAATCTTAGCTACAAACACAAATTGATAGATATTATTCAGCTATGCTAGTTTTCACCAGAGATTATATCAGAGCAAAATCAACTGCCAGAACTAGTAACATTGTTGTTTATCAGTGATATCATGATTGGTAAATAATATACCAATTGGCAAAAGAAGGAAATACACCTAACAGACTATCACCAACACAAAAGATCCATATATGCTTACAAAAGTACCACATAGGAAAATCTCACCTGACGATGAATATTGAACAGGTATGTGAATTCGATACTCACTATAATTTCCACAAATTTTCATGGCCACAGGCATTCATTGAGAACAAAAGTAGTGCACAATTCAGTGAAACATAAGGCTTCAATTTTCATATCATTGTTTTGAACATTGACTCATGGTCACATGATATTGCTGCAATCAACTTATTTCAAAACAAATCGTGGGCATTTTACATTCAGGATCCTGACTCTTTGGGAGTTTTGCAACAATTGAGATAGTATTTTTTTTAGAGAAGGGTATTTTTTACTCAGCCTCTACATCCAACCGAATATATGCAGCCTTTTAAATCGGGAACTTAGCCCCTCAAATAACCTAATCTGAAATTCGGACTCTTTGGGAGATTTAAACAATTGAGATAGCATGAAGTCCTGAGTTCAACTCATCAGTCAAGAGGTCATTTATCTAAAAAAATATACCATCCTGTGACGCTTCACAAGGCTCTGGCCCTCAAACTTGGGCGAAATTACCCTGATGTTAAAATGCGTCTCATTCGCATTGTCCTTGACAGCTGTATGCCCAGCATGCTTGTAAGGAACATCTTCAATGTCGATCGCACTGGCCTCCAAAGAAGACTGCAGCTTTTGCCTCATCCGAGCAGCTCTTGAAAGCACAGCGCCAGTGGCTCGTGAGCCATCATCGATATAGTCTGCCTCACAGCAACTATACCTGGCAGCAAAGTTTACTGGTTATGCAAGATAATCACTATTACAAGATCAGTGGTAATGCACACATATTCAAGACAAATAGTTCAATGGACCTTTACAGAATTTGCATGCTGCTAAAGATTAATCTGAGAAGGTCAGGCATCTCAGAAAGTATACTGAAAGCACTTCCTGTGGGATCATGAACCAACACCAAAGGCCATGATTGCATAACATAAAAGAAAATAGTGAAGTGGCCTTAACTATACCTAAAACTTTAGTGGTCCATAAAACATGATGTTGTGCAAATTCTAATATCTGAACTAGTATGAAACTATGGATTCAATTCATGAGTTACTGAGAAAACAAATGCAGCTATCTTTTATTGACCTAGGAAATCCACATCCATATGGAATTAGTTGAAAGCAGCATGAAATGCAATGTGATTATGTCAGCGGATGCCCTGTTTGGTCAAGCAAGCGTCATCTTTCTTACCTTCATAAGCAAGCACAACCGAGTTCAGACTTTACAAGCCCAAATATCGCTTTGAAGGAGCGTGGAAACCTTTGATCTATTTTCATTTCTGGTCATCAATTATTATACCATGTTAGGGGGTTCCTCCCCTATTCCTCTAAAATAAATATCTTGCAAGGGACCATCCCGAACCCTTGTAGGCGAGGCGCCAGTGACAAAATCGAGAATTTGATTGCAAAGATGGTGAAATTAGATAGCTTTATAGGTTACAGAAGGCGCAAGTAAATCTGGAAAAGGCTCGATTCAAATATCTTAACCAAGAGGATCTGACATTCTGACCAGAAGCTTACAAAGTTACAAGTGCGGAAAAAGGGAAGGGGAAGTTCTGCGGCTGCCATAAACTTAGCTCCTCTCACGCGCCGTTGTATCTTAACGTTTTCGCTGGTGTATCTAAACGGAATGCGATTGTGAACAGGGAAAACATGTACGTATGTACCTTAACGTTTTCGCCGGTGTACGTATGTACCTTAACGTTATAGAGCGGCGGCGGCCAAGAGCAAGTTTAATAGTGTAGCTAACTGCTAGCTCTAATTCATCTATAGTCAATCTTATAACTCATTCATATAATAGTTATCTATAATATATACTACACCATTAATATATGGTTCCATCTCTCATACACAAACAACGTATGGGAGTCTGTGCTGCAGTTGGCTATAAATCTGTAGCCCGCTTTTCTTCTCTCTCTTCTCTTCTCTTCTCAACATGCGTGCATACAGTTGACTTGTAGCCTGCTATTGTACTCGCTCTAGGGGCGGAGAAAAACCTGAAGAGAAGGAAAGCAACCAAGAAATCTCTCATATACTAAAATTGTAAAAATAATAAAATGAGAAAAAAAATAACTCGTATCACTATTATAAAAATTGAAGATGTTTCAACCAGAATTTTGATACGTTATTTATGTTTAAGTTTGTTATATGTTGTCTGTATCCAATTCAACATGACTAATAACTACTCCCTCCGTCCCATAATATAAGGAATTTTGAGTTTTTGCTTGCAACGTTTGACCACTCGTCTTATTTAAATTTTTTTTGCAAATATAAAAAACGAAAAGTTGTGCTTAAAGTACCATAGATAATAAAGTAAGTCACAAATAAAATAAATAATAATTTTAAAATATTTTGAATAAGACGAGTGGTCAAATGTTACAAGCAAAAACTCAAAATCTTTTATATTATGGGACGGAGGGAGTATCATACACTTCTATCCGATTATACCAACGCAACCCCTCCCTATCCCAACCCAGCCCAACCCAGACAACCAACACCATTCCATGCATCTCTACTCGGCGTCACGTGTGTAATCAGGTTAAATGCTATATATGTTTTTTTTTACTTTTTTTGTTATTAATTTTGTCGTTTAAATTGACATTGTTTTTTTAATCAAATTCTAGTTTATTAAAAATGAAAATATGCGAGTAAGGAGAAAAATAACTCGTGTAACCAGGTTCAATGCTATATATGATTTTTGACCTTTATTTTGTTTTTTATCATTTAAATTGACATAGTTTTTTTTTGTCAAATCATGCATTTTTGTAGTATATTAAAAATGAAAATATGCGAGTAAGGAGAAAAATAACTAGTATATTAAAAATGAAAATATGCTAGTGAGGAGAAAAATAACTCGTATATATAGTAAAAATGAAAACATGCGATGAGCAAAAAAAAAAATAACTCGTATACATTAAAAATGAAAACATGCGGTGAGCGTGGATCGAACACGCGACCTTCAGATCTTCAGTCTGACGCTCTCCCAACTGAGCTATCCCCGCTTGGATATTACAAAATTTAATATTTCATCCCTCGCCAATTTCTCTCTCAACTGGGTGGTTACAGAATTTCAACATACTTACACTGTTACACATGATGATTGCCGCGTCCGAAACAACTTCGAGTTACCTCATCCACCAAGAGTCCAAGAGACAAAAATAAAGAACCAGGAACGCGCACGGGAGCATGAAAATGGCTCGATTTCAACTGACCTTGATCGTCTAGTAGACCGATACGATCTCCAATTGCCGCGTCCGAAACAAACTCGAGTTTACCTCGATCCGCCGCGGCACAAAAATACAGAACCACGGGAGTTAATTACCCTCATCCACCGAGCACACACACGCGAAGCAGCAGAATCGCAGACAGATCGACCGCGCGCCTAGCTTCTCTGTTCCGAGAAAGCCGGCCATGGCGTCGCCGCCGGCGCCGGCGAACCGAGAAGAGCTGACCCGCGCGGCTCTCGCCTTCCTGAGGAAGGTGAGAAGCCGCTTCTGGTTGAAGCCGTGCGTCTACAAGGGGCTCGAGACCATCCTCACCGAGTACGGCAAGTACGCGAACGCGTCCACCTCCCTGGTGGTGGACGGCGCGGCGGTGCTCCTCGGCGACCACCCCGACCTCATCGCGGAGTTCAACACCTTCGTCCGTCCGGAGTACAAGATCGAGCTCCCCGCCGATCACCTTCCCGCTGCGGCAACGGCAAAGCCCCAAGGCAAGGGAGACGTGTCGCCGCTCGAGGCCAAGCGATTCTTGGAGCGGGTGAAGGCGGAGGACGAGAAGCTTTACGACAGGGTCGTCGTCAAGCTTTCCGACTTGCACAAGAAGAGATGGATGGACGCTCATCAGGTGTACGCACAGCTCGAGAAAGTGTTTGGTCCGGCACGCCGAGACCTGCTCCGCTGCTCCGCCGAGTTCCTCCCGAAGGGCCCGCCGCCGGAGTTTGCGGAGGACCCGGGTGCAGGTCCCGGCCCGTCGTCGTGGAAGCGCAAACGCGCCGCCGCCGCCGCCGCTAACACGTTCGCAGCCGACGCCGTCAAGCCGATCAGGACCGTAAAGCCACGCGCCGCCGACCTCCTCCAGATCAGCCAGCCCGCCCACGACGTCGACAAGGACAAGGGCGTCAAGCCGAGTAGGCCCAAGAGGCCCCGCAACGCAGGCATCCAGATCGGCCAAGCCGCCGTCGCCGCCGCCGCCGCCGCCGCCGACGACGACGACGACGGCGAGGCGGGGGGCGACCCGTGCTGGCTCGTCACGGAGCGGAACCCCCACGCCGCCGCCGTCACGTTCAGGAAGATCTTGGAGTTCCACGCCAGGTACTCGAATCTGGTCGCCACGATCAAGCGCGCGGAGGAGCTCGCGAGAACGCGGCACCCTCGCGGCGCCCTCGAGGACCTCTTCCCTGGCCGCGAGTGCCACGAGATCCTCGGCGAGCTGTACGGCGGCGGCTGGAGGACGATGCGGGCGGCGGTGGTCGAGGACGGCGACGGCCACGTCGACGTCACGTTGGCCGCGATCCTGCTGCGTCTGAGGGCGGAGGAGGACGTAGCCGTGCAGTTGGCAAGAAGCCGGCGTGATAGAACCCGCTACGGTGCCAGGCAGGGTGAGAGGTCGCCGGCCGGCGACCGCGCCGCGAACCGTAGTACGCGCGGCGTCCGTGCAAAATGGCGTGAAGCTTGATGGGCAGAGTACGCGCATGAACAAAAATTGTAGGAGTATGTGGCAACTTGCTCAGTTGATTGTTCGAAGTTATTCCGACGTGGGTGCACCGTGCACGTACGTACGATCGAATACGATCACCCGCTGCTGCGTGCGCCGTGCCGATCGGAGGAGCTTCGGTTATTCATTCATTCATGCCGACGATTGATCGATCTGCCATGATCAGTCACAGATCAGCGCTCAAGTGCACGTTCGTGTGGTTCGTTTTCCTTATTCAGCTTGTTGTACAGTGTTTTTTTAATTAGTACATGAATCCCATTATTTCTTTTTGCTGACCGAGGTAGAGCAGGGTTGGTAATTACGTTCTGCGCATTTAGGATATTCGGCATGATTTTTTTTCTTGTAATTTAATTTGAACAGTTTTGACCGACTTGAATTTTTTTTGCTAAATTAAAAAATGATATGGGAATTTTCAAGTGAAATGATTTTAGGAATTTCGAACCAAAATTGCAAACATTGGATAAGAGAATGCCATTAATTAAATAATACTCCATTTCCCGTGCCTATTCTAATTTTAGATACTTGAAGTACTCCATTCGTTTCAAAATAAGCCAAATTGCACCCTCGCATTCCCAGACAAAATTAGTACTAAGGAAAAAAAAGACTACATTGTCCCTCATCAATAGAATGTAGTATTGATAGGTGGATCAGTAAGGGTATTGAAGGGAAAAAAACTTTTCAATTCTTGGATCGATAAAAGATAAGAAAGTCGAAATTGATTTATTTTAGGATAAAGTTTAAACTTTAGGAATTGATTTATTTTGGGACAGTGAAGTAGATACTACTCCCTCCGTCCTCCGTCCCATAATATAAGGGATTTTGAGTTTTTATTTGCATTATTTGACCAATCGTCTTATTTAGAAAATTTATGCAAATATAAAAAACGAAAAGTTGTGCTTAAAGTACTTTGGATAATAAAGTAAGTCAAAAAAAAATAATTCTAAATTTTTTTTAATAAGACGAGTGGTCAAACAGTGCAAACAAAAACTTAAAATCCCTTATATTATGGGACGGAGGGAGTATTATAGTAAGTGAACTAAGTGGTTCATATTATATCCAACTAAAACACCTAGAAAGAACCAAATGCCCAGTGTTTGTGTTTGGATCTATCTAATCAATTTCAAATTATTTTACCTAAATCCCATTTTAATCAATTAATGTTAAGAAACTATATGAATACTTAAATGGTACTCTCTCCGTCCTAAAACGTAAGGATTCCTTAGTTGAGCATGAGCGTTAAAAAGTACTCCCTCTATATTGATAATACTTGTTATTTTGAATAAGGACAGTCTTTAAAAAAACAACTTTGTTCACTATTTTTTTTATTATAATATGTATATAAATATTATTAAATATATGATTTTATTAAAGTACTTTTCAAGACTTATCTATACACATGGTTTTCATATTTGTAAGATAATTATTTTAGATGTTATTTATAATCAAAGCCTTTGAAGTTTGTCCATTATCTTGTCCAAAACAACGAGAATTATCAAGCTAAAGGGAGTAGTTAGGAAGAGAAAGTAGGTTAAAAATTAAATGAAGGATGGTATGATTGGTTAAGTTGAAGATAGAAGGTAAGGATATACTCCCTCCTTTTCTAAATGTTTGACACCGTTGATTTTTTTTAAATATGTTTGACCGTTCGTCTTATACAAAAAATTTTGTAAAATGTGTAAAACTATATATATACATAAAAGTATATTTAACAATAAATCAAATGATAGAAAAAGAATTAATAATTACTTAAATTTTTTGAATAAGACGAACGGTCAAACATTTTTTAAAAAGTCAACCGCGTCAAATATTTTTAGATGGAGGGAGTAAATTTATTTTTAAACGGTGGAGTCTTTCTGGTTAGGTTTCGCGTTGAAGCTGGATCCCATGCAAGACTCGGATCTCTCCTACTACTACTGGGAGTCTGGGAGTGCCCGAAGCAAAACCCGTTCCACAGATTACAAGAAAATCACGTCCTGCCAGACGATAAAATTGCAGCAACTCGGCCATTCGTCAGACAAGATAAAATTCAGGCTCTACAGGTGTACTACACAGTATGGATCACAGTTATTTGCCGTACGTGTGCCGTTGTGTTTCTCGGGGGCGACCTGTTTTGTCACACGGAGAGAACCTCACGGAATGGCCAAGACTTATCCACTGCTGCACGCAGGGCCGCGCAGGCGCAGGCGGCGATGCGCCGGCCACACGGCACGGCGCGCCAGAAAGGAGCTAGTTGATCAGCGCCAGCCAGAAGCCCCGAAACCCCGCTGTATATGCGCACTGGCCGCTCACGAAGCGAAGCACGGGGGCCGTTCAAAGCGTTCGTGCGCCGATCGAAGTCAAGTTTTGACCCAGCAACCACCTTATTAGAGCAAGTTTAATATTATATATCCAACGTACTAAATCATTTATAGCCAATATAATAGTCAATTCATACAATAATTGCTTACTATACCATTAATATCTGATCCGACATGTCATACACATATTACGTCTTGGAGTCCGTACTGCAGCTGGCTACAGATCTATAGCCCGCTGCTCTTCTCTCTCTTCCTTTATCTCTTTAAAACATCTTTATAGCTGGCTTATAGCCAGCTATTATACCTGCTCTTAGAGCATCAGCAATGGGTGCCCCTGGACCGTAGCCTCGCTCACGCCGTTCGCCCCCCGTCCATGAGCCGTGTCTCAACAGGGAGGTGCGACCCCCACGAGGGGAACGCACCCCCAGCCTCCTCAACTCCCTTTTTCCTGAGCCACTCGCTTGAGGTTTCGCGTTGGACGATGTCGTCTCTTGTGGACACGGTTCCCCCACCAGAAATTTCCCCTTTCACCCTTGGCCGGCGTTGGGGAGGAATCGGACTCGGAGAGGTGGTGGAGGAGCTGGTGGTGGCCACCAGATCTAGTGGCGGCGTAGGGAGGTGGCGGAGGCGAGAAGAAAGAAGGGCGCGAGCAGAGGAGACGAGAAAGGAGAGGAAGAGATGAGAAGTTTAGACGGTTTACTGGGCTGGTGGGAGGGGTATGGGTGGAATTTTTTAGAGGATTTTTACGGTACATTCTACTGCAAGTATATACTTACAGTATATAGAAGGGTAGGTTTGGTATTTGTTAAAAAATCTAAAAATGGCTGTTTAGTCATTTGAAATTGAGATTTGTCATCGGGAGTAATTTTCCATCGGTAGTAGACACTTTTTTGGTTGCACTTGCATCTAAAAATATATATCAGCACTGTTAAGTTTTGACATGCATAGCCATGCATGATCCATGAAATTGATAGATGACTAGTTCATTTTTTTTTTTGCCAGACATATCAAGTTCTCAGTATATTTCTTGTTCAATTAGTTTATGACGGGATGATTTGCCAGATCTATCAATCCCTGCATGGAGGCGGCACCAGGAGACAGTTATGCAAAATGAAAACAACGATTGGCTATCAGTGCAATTTCTCAATGGTGCTAGGGCTGGTGACTGGGCGAACGAGAGGCTGGGGCGCGCCGTCGCCGATGGCACCGAGTTTGGCTCAGGCGCTTGCAGAGTTTTGGTTGTCGGCGGCGTCGATAGAGCATGGGACGAAGGAAAGCAAACATAATTCTCTGGAGTGGATTTCTCTCGAGCCAGATCGGACAAAAAGAAAACGCGAAAATACAAAAATATCCCCACGTAAAAAAGATGGAAAGACAAATATACCCTTTTAAATTTATACTGCAAATTAATTTAGAGGAAGATCAGATAAATCTACACCGTTGGATTGTTTATACTATAAGTATATACTTGCAGTATAGAGTACCGTAAAAATCCTCATTTCTTACTGGGCTACTTTGAGTCGGGACACCCGTTGTGGGCTGCAGTAGCCCTATAAAGTTGCCTAAGATTTTAAAGAATCCAGCTACGAGTATCCTCCATTGTGAGATGGGTGTCCCATAGAGTAGCTTCGGTTAGTGAGGACACCCATAGAGTATCTTTGATTGCTGATGCCCTTACAAGTACTCTATCAGTATTACCTGCTGCCACCTCTCTACGTGTTGCTCTTGAGGCAAGACAAAGAGGACAAAGAGTCAGGACCACAGGTACGGTATTGCTTAAAAGTAGTCTCTCCATCTCACAATGTAGCAACATATTTTTATATATTTTAAAAGAAAATTAAATCCTGATTATGAATATGAAAATGTGCAATTAGGATTTTAGCTTTTTCTTTTTGATGAAGAGTGTAAGACTGGATAAGATAAATCTAGATAGAAATTCATAGAAACAAGATGTATCATCCGGTCATAGGTATGGTGTCACATTTTCAGCCAAATCTGCCGGGGAGCTTCCACCGGCCTCGGTGGTGCATGCCAGTGTCTCGCCGTCGGCGACCACACCTCTCCTCACTCTCTCGCCTCTCGGAGTAAGAGTACGTAGCGCGCGGCAGAGTAGACGACGACGACTACGACACAGTACGTAGTCACACTGTCACGAACACAGTCGCGCGCAGCCACGCCCGCGGGCCGCGACATGTGCTTTGTACCGGCCAATCGCAAAGGAGGAATATGCAGAGCTGCAGCAGCGGCAGCGGCAGCAGCAGCAGCTGGCCGCCACCAACCAAAACCAGGCGGCAAAGGGACGGACCGTCCCAGTCTGCGGCCGATCAGAAACATCAGGCTCCCCGTGCCTCTGAGAGATCCGTGCATGCGAACAGCCATGAGCCAGGACGGCTTGGACGGACAATTTTTCTCGGTCAAGCCGGCCTTGACACACACTTTTGTTCGCTTACATGCATAACAAGATCATTAGTACTACTAGTATACTCCTATCTAGCTACAGTGAAAGTCTGAATCACTGAATGAGCGGTCCAAAATGTTGAGAGCAAAGAGAACTCGGAACACCAGTATTGCATCGCTGCAAAAGCAAAGCAGTAGGGATGTGTGGTACTAGTACGCGCGTACGTACTGGGATAGCTATGGTACGCACGCACGTACTACTCCTACTACCTTGTCCAAGTTTATACTACTGACACGCTGCATGGCGGAGTACGTGGTGACAGGTCAGACTACCAACCGACATTGTACTAGCGTCTCTCTTATTGGGATCTCCTGACCATTTTGACCAGGAATTTACAGCGACCCCAAATTTGCATCCTTCCGCCCGGCGCTTCTAATACTGCGTAGAGTACTGCTAGCAGGAAATTCTTGTTCTCACACTATACTAACACAGTCAAACTATAGATCATCCAAAAATAAGATTGTCAAGTACTAGGAGTATCATGTAGTAACATGCCCTGTGACCCTCCATTTGTTTTACCTGATACGTTCAACCATGCCTCCTTAATTACATTCCCTAGAGGGGCAGTATATATAGCAATGTGCAATATATGTACAGTGCAACAAGAGAGTAACCGGCCTGCCATGCCAAGTCAACCTCTAGCCGGTAGGAGTAGTCCGCTGTGTTGCAATTGCAAGAGAGAGTAGTAGCTAGCACGGGACATGGCAGCATGCAGGACGTTGTACGAAAGGTAGGGCATCTTTACAGTTCAGAGGCCGAGAGGTTGCGTCCAGCTTTGACACGCAACGACGAGCCCTATACATGCACAACGGCCTCAACCTTTCACCATGGGCAAAAGCTTCAGGCAGCGGCAGCGGCCGCAGCAGCAGCGCGCACTGTGCAGCACTGCATGCCGCTGCAGCGCCGCAGCCTTTCCTCCTTTTCCTTCCCCCCGCTCGGAGCTATAGCTTGCACTTGCAGAAGAAGAGCAGGGGAAAAAAAGGCGAATTTTTTGAGAGAAAAGAAACCAGAGGAGTATACAGGAGAACGGGCATCTTCCCAGCCAGCGTTATCATTGGTGTAATCTGCAGCCATGGATGGGGTAACCGAGGAAATTCTCAGACTTGCTCGAATGCCTTCTCCTACGCCTAGTTGAACAACAATTGCTTTGTTTTACATCCCTCCTCCTACTTACGATCGAAATGAGCTCAAGAACATTTCCATGAGCAATCAAAGATTGTTTTTCTCCTGCTATATTCAATAAAGTTAGCACGCTATAAGCGCCGATTCGTTTAACAAAAAAAGAATGAAACATTGTTTTTTCCTCTTTTTCAAAAAAGAAGCAATGGAAGATTGTGATTGATGTGCACGCTATAATCCTGGATAGACTGCTGAGATAGGAAATGCACACAAGGAATAGCAGCTCAATGCAACATGTTTCTGTAACTGTCAAATGATTTGGTCTGACAACGATGTAGATGAAGCTAAACTGAAACAAGTTCCATGGAATCATAGCACAAGAGCTGGAAACAAGTGGCAAACACACAAACACATGCGGCGCTGGAATTTGTAGGAGTAAGATGAGATCTAAGGACTCGTATTTACAGTTTTGAGCTTAAACACCACAGCAACAATTAATTTCATCTTGAGCAATTGATGAACCGCACAGGAAGAAGGCAAAACGATCGATCCACGGGGTAGAGAGAAGAAGCACACTCCAATCAAGAACTGTCCCAAGAACAAGGCGTACGGACGCCAGTGCAGTACGCGTCGGTGAATTGAGCGAAAGACGTGTCAGAGCTCGGAAGATGCATGCTGCTGTGCGTGATTCACCGGGACTCCTCCTCGGCGCGCCTGGCGGCGCCGGAGAGCGCGGCGAGGAGGTTGAGGTGGTGGTGGTGCGCCTGCGCCATCGGCACGTACGTCGGCTGCGCGTCCAGCGGGGAGAAGCCCCAGGCGTCGGGCCGGCCTGGTGCGGGCAGCGCCGCCCAGAACGCGGACGCGGCGCCGGCGACGGAGACGGCGTCGGCGGCGGCGGACTCCTGGCGCTGGCGCTTGCCGAGGAGGGTGTGCTGGTGCGAGGAGGAGGTGGACGGCGCGGAGGAGGAGACGAAGGCGGCCGGGGTGGTGCCGGTCCCCGTGGCGGCGAGGATGGACGGCTCGGCCTGGCGGAGCAGCCACTCGATGGTCTGGCCGTCGGACTTGAGCCCCAGCTCCCGCGTGAGCTGGAACACCCGCGCCGCGCACACGATCGGCATCCGCACGCGCCGCCCGCGCCCGTTCACCTTGCTGTGCCGGTCCTTCCCACCCGCCGCGCCGGCCGCCTTCTTGCTCGGCGCCGGGACCAGCTGGGCGACGGCCTCTGCCGGCGCCGCCGACACTGCCGCAGCGGGCGCCACCGTGGCCGTCGGGATCTGCACGGGCTGGTAGACATGGAACGTGGCGGCGGCGTCGCGGGAGCTCATGGCGAGCGAGAGAGTGTGATGCGAGGTGGTGCCAATGGTGGTGGTGGTCCGGTGCCTGTGGGGTTTGAGAGGTTTTGAGGTGATGGGGAGAGGGACACGCCGGATAGATTTATAATGGACTTGATGTAGACTTGCTCGTCTTTAGGTGGTGTTTAGATCCAGGGACTTAACTTTAGTCCCTGTCTTTAGACACTAATTTAGAGTATTAAATATAGACTACTTACAAAACTAATTACATAAATAAAAGCTAATTCACGAGACAAATTTTTTAAGCCTAATTAATCTATAATTAGAGAATGTTTACTGTAGCATCACATAGGCTAATCATGGATTAATTAGGCTCATTAGATTCGTCTTGCAAATTAGTCCAAGATTATGGATGGGTTTTATTAATAGTCTATATTTAATATTTATAATTAATTTTCAAACATCCGATGTGATAGGGACTTAAAAGTTTTAGTCCCATCTATACAGGGCCTTTTTCTGCGTATTTTACCATAGTACTTCACTTCCCCCCCCCCACTTACTTTTTTCTACAAAATTTCTTCTCATGAAGTACTAGTAGTAGTACATGTTGCTACTTTCGTCTCAAAATAAATTAATTGTAATTCATTTCATATACCAATACAATCGAAAAAACTAGAATATCCAATACTTGATCAAATCCTAATGCAATTATTATCTCCCTCTTTATCTATTGTTAATGTATTTATCTTATATTTTCACAGCCTCTAATGCAAATGATGGCTTAAATAAACTTATTTCATGATTGAGGAAACAGTAATCAACATTATTACTACTATACAACAATACCAGCACATTTTTGTCTGGATTCTAATGCATGCAGCCATGCACTACACGCTACATGTTCGTAGCGAAATGGCAATACGGAATATACTATTCAAGGTATTTTACTCGTGTGTGCAACGTAGTAAATGCGAGCGCTAATTATCTGGGTCACCAGAGAGACCTGACCTTGATCAGGAGGGAAGGAGAGGAGGAGAAATGGGAGGAGCAGAAGAGGGCAAGAGGCAGTGTGGTCGCAGCAGTAGTACTGTACCACCATAGGGGGGGCAGGGCACATGGGAATCTGGGTCCAGTAGCTCTCACACTTTGCTGGAATCTGCAGGGTCTTTTACAAATAGTAGCAGCAGCAAACGCTACATAGCTTAAGCCTAATCTACCACCGTATCACATCACGGCGAGGATTAGTTTAATAGTCGACGGCTCGAGCTCATTACAATATCTTATCCCCGTGGGTGCTGAACTGGACGTGTGAAAGAACCCAAACTGTGCAGGCACAGCGACCTGAGAGACGCTGGCTGCCGAGACAGGGAGATCTCGGAATTTCGCGGCGGCGGCAGCAGCAGCAGCAACAAAAACGGACGGATTCGTGGGGGTTTCGCGCGAGGAAATCGATCGTTTTCGAACCAAAAGCTCGGTGACGATTCGGTGGACACTGGATGATGGGGGCTACTGCTGGGGATGTGCAGGAAAAAGAAAAAAAAAACTTTGGTCTTTGGCCTACTAAAAAATCGTTATCATGTGGTCATGCACGAGACTGTGTACAGGTTTCCGTCGTCCAAGCTGCGACTGTATGGACGTGGACATGTACATTGTACAACGCTGTAGCGTACAGTTTTTGCAGCCATGAGCTGTGGGGGCGTGGGTGCTGCTGCTCTGGGGGCCCAAAGCTTGGATGGACGGCGGCAGCTGGATCGATCGATCGATCATCACCCGGGACGAAGGAAACGTACGGTGAGAATGAGATGGATGAGGGGGATGCGATCCATGGCTTGGCGTTTAGGGTTGGTTGTTTGCAAAAGCAGGAATTTTCGAGGATATCTATGGAGATTGAACTGATTATTGTTGTGAGATCATGCAAAACCATGTGTTCCACTGGATGTTGTACGAGACAAGAGCCTAATATCGTTTCCTCGAAAAAAAAGTAGTATAATATCATTTTTTGAAAGACACCTTACAAAAACAGGCACAAAACACACGTACACAATCATCCCTATAACGCGCTCACATGTGCACGCATTAACTCTATAATAAACACCTTCAAAAACTGGATGACATATATTGAGATTAACGACGTAACTATAAACATCTCGCTGTCAACGGATGTCATATACCACTAAGAATAATTAATCGTAAATACGAGCATCTGCGGTAAGTCTAGAAACTTGAATTCCGATGAGCTAATCCCACCACAATAAGAGTAAATCATTTTATTCATGTTTTTATTTTTTTTCTTTAGAGGATTTGCCACTTCCCAATAATTTGGGTTGTGTGTTTGCATACCACCACTTGCACGCACAAACATTTGTAAGTCCTGTACACATGTTTTAAGTTAATGTTGGAGGCATCAAACACCCACCCCCTGTAGCGAGGACACCACGTATTAACCTAGCATACATGCATAAGCACTCCTAAAAACATTGGACAGCTAAACTAAATCTAAAACTTGAACTCTGATGAACTAGGTACACACCAGCACCACTTAGCCATCCGTGATTTTTAATACTATAGTTAGCCCGTACAACCAAGTAGCAATCGCAATACGCACATGAAGATGCCAAAAACTGCGTTGATTAGTTGACTTTGCGGGAGGTTGTGAGAGCGTTTTTTTCAACAAAAGATGACTGGAGAAAGACGTCGAGAGAGGGAGGAGAGGGCAGAGAAGCGAGGGGGGGTACAGGGGCGATGAAGCGATGATGATGACCTGTGTTGAAAGGGAAGGCGAATGGACCGGCTACCAGCCTTCCTAGTTTTGGATATGCATATGGCGTTGGTCGCCTACTCGCTTTCAGCGTATAATTGGAGCCCCACCCGGCAAAGGCTTCATGGCTTCGTTGGCTCAAAAAGAGCATGTCGGCGACCTCTCCCGCCACCTGATTTTAACGCAATCTTTTCTCTCTCTCTATTCTCACCGCGGAAGTGAAACACTGTGCACTGTTCGTATCTTTACACTGAAGCTACAACCTCTTCTGCTCCTCTCAGTTTTGATGTTCTTGCACAGGATATGAGCTGTGAATTTCACGAGAAACAATTCGATTCTACCCCCAGCAAAATTTCCTGTGTTCTGGTCCAAACAGGACTGTAGCTATTCACAACCCATTGTCGTTCTGGTCCACTACCATACTAGGACATCTCTGCTTAACGAATGAATGGATAAATGGGCACACTTTCCCGAATTCCTAAATGCTATGATTTCTTATAATACTGTCTTAAATCCATTTTTATCTTTATAATAATTCATTCGTTCATTTGTACCCTCGAATAATTCTCACGAATCATTAATTTATTCAGCAATTCTGCACAGCACAAAAAAACACACATTGAAGTAATTAATGTTGCAATTCCAATATTCCAGGAACTTGCCAACATTCTTGGTGAAATTCATCAGGCCCCATACCAGAATACAGCTATAAATTATAATTTTAGACTGAAGAACTCCTAGCAACAGAAATGAAAAAAAAAAGTATGGCAAATGCACCTGACTGAATTGAATGTAGATTGATTTAACAGTAGAACGCCAAAGCAAGTACAGATCTCATCAGTGGCTACGGATCAACAAACTACACATTCAGAAGAACAAGTTTCAGGAGTTGCTAGGAATGACATTAAAGAAGTGGTAAACTTCATCTTCATCAAACACTCCAACCTCAGTTGAGCAAACCTCACAACAAACAGGGTGATAAACTGCACCCTTCTTTTCACCTTCTGATGTAGTAGAAGAATCAGCAGCCTTTCCCTTGCGGTTTTTCCGTTTGCCTTTCCCCTCCCGTAGAATCTGATCAGTCTTGACCTTGCAGTTGCGAACGAACATTGCACGGTACTGATTTACATACGTCTCATGCCTGAACATCAAAGAAAGCCACTACAGTTAATAATTGTCTGAAGATTTGAAGCATTCAAAGTAAGAACTTCAGGAGTTTCTGAACATTGTGCAAATGAAAACAACAGCATAATGTTTCACGATATAAAATGATTACTGAAAGAATTGCAAATAGGTCACATAAACTTGCCTCCAGATTTTTTTTCCCACAAATCTAGATTTCTCAATTTTGTATTAAAAAATTGGACATGCTCAGTACAATCAAGTGATATAATTGCATATTCTGGAGAGGAAAATGATCAAGCACAATATATGGTTACCAACACAAGTTCCAAGCAGGTTTTATTTTAGTTTCAAACCAAAGTAAGTTTCATGAAGATTTCAGACTTTCAAGGTGGATAATTCAATTTACAAAGCAGGTTACAAATAAGTCATCATGAATGTTCCAGCATGTTGCAAGATTGTCGCAGTGGTTCAGGTGTCTTCAGAAATTTTTGAAATGGTTCATTAATGTATTGCAAGTTTCTGAAAAGTAAGTCCAACCTCTAATACAAATAATTGTGGCATGTCCCCATGGGCCAACCAAAAATCTCCGATATACCACTAATGTATTCCTAGAGTCGCCATTTCATCATAGAGATAAGCAATTAAACACCCCTGACTTGTTTACAAATAGCTATGTCTTCCACTTGCAGGAGCGTTTCTCCCATACAAGCAAAATCAAACTAAAAATTCAGGAACAACTAATCCTAGCATAAACCATTTATTAAGAAGTTCCATTATTTCTTCCAGCCACTTAAATCAACCAATTTGATCATTGTGAGCATGGATGTCGATTGTATGCAAAAGATTTGCTCACATGTATAGATATACTCCTCATGGTCTAACATACACCAACTTCTCCAAACAAAATTATTGATAGCATCTACCCTATACAGGCAGCAGCACCACAATCCTGATAGTTTCTTCATCATCAGGAAAAGCATCGTGCCAATCCAAGAACTAAAAATAGTAAATCGACTAATCTAAAAAGAACTAGTGACTGCTTAATAAACATGCATATTGGAATCCAGAAGCCTCCTCACAGAGTTCGAAGCAGTAAGGAAAGACAACCTCTGGCAATCCAGGCACAAGGTAGTGAAGCACGCGGGGCAGCTGAGCACGGCGTCAGAAGTCCTCCCTTTCCTCTGCTTGCTCACCCACCGCTCATCGACATCATCCAGGTCGGGATCGTAGAACTCGGGCTCCACGGAGTAATCTATCTCATCGTCGCTGGACACTAACAAATTCAGAGGTAACACAAAACCAAAAGAGGGGAAATCAGGTGCATCAGTCAGGACACGTCAGGCATCTCCCATTTCCTGCACGATTTATATATACTTCCGGTTCTTGGAGGAGGAAGCAAAAGGGGTTCGCATGAAAGATTTTAGCCATCTAAAGCAAGGGGGGGATTGGGAGAGCTACCTAGTTCTCGGGGATCGACGGGGCCGCCGGCGTCCGCTTCCATCGGCTGGCTCGCCGCCTCTTTGGATTTCTCGGGCTCCATGAAACCCTCCTCGCCTCCGCCGTGCGCTCTCGCTTCCGCTTCTCCGGCCTTCTTCCTTCGCGATTCTTCTCTCTCCTGTGGCTGCGAGGTTTTGGGCCGAACCGACAGCTTGGTGTCGGCCTAATTGGAGAAACCGACTTGAGTTCTTCCCCTTTTTTTTTTGTTTTTTTTTGTCAGATCAGAATATTAGATTAGATACGATTTTTTGTCCATGTATTATATAGAAGTAAAAAATGGTGAAAAAAAAATCAACCATCTAAAAAAAGGAAAATTAAGGCCGCATTTTCGATACATGTGAAGTTCAGCTTGTTTACTCAAACAGGTACTGTAGCTTTACAAATATTCAATCAGGAAAAAGAGAGTATCAGCGGCAACATCTTTTCACCGTGATCCAGAAAATCTATATCGCATATTACACCAGTACAATTCTTTTGTTCTTTGAAACCCATGCATTCATGAGTTTGTCTTAGAAATTAAAGAGAATCGCACATACATCAGGAATAATAAAAAAGAGCACATAATTTGGCATGTTTTGCTTCTCAAAAGCCTTCTTAAGTTGTGACCTTCCTCTTAAAAAAAAGCTTTCTTAAGCGAGTGCCCTTTTGATTACAAGCAGCTCCTTGATGATATCTTTGGTTGACATTCTACTCAATGGCATTTCCCCAGAGCAGAGCAGCCCGAGTTTAAGTAGCGAAATCAGGGAGTTCACCCTTTCTGACGGACCATCCATGGATGTTGCAGGCGGCGCGTTTTCAAGCTCTGTTACCAGCTCTACATCGAGAATGTCCATCGCTCGATTATTCAGGGCCATCTCAACGCACTTGCGAAGGCTAAATCCTTGCTCACATGTGTTATCTGTAGGCCGCCTTCCAGTAATCATTTCAAGAACAAGAATTCCATAGCTATAGATGTCTCCGTGAGTTGAAACCATATTTCCAGCACCATATTCTGTTTGAATTGAACAGTGATGATGAGAGTAAGTAAACTGGGTAAATGATAATGCTATGTCTATGGTGAAAGAGATTTGACGATTGAAAGGTCGTAATGTTTTCAAGTAAATTTCTTGTGTTAAATAAATCGATAGATGCAAATAAAAAGAATGATAAACTAACCAGGTGGAGCATAACCAATTGTCCCTCTAAATCCCATCGAGCTCGTTGAGGGTTGAGAAGACAGTATCTTGGCTAGCCCAAAATCTCCAACATGTGCTACCATATCAGCATCAAGAAGCACATTACTTGGTTTAAGATCGCAGTGCACAACAGGTGTAGTGCCATGGAAATGAAGATAATCCAATGCACAAGCCACATCAAAGAGTATACCTACTCTGTGGACAAGATTCAAGTGCCTCTCTTCCAATTGGTTATCTATCTGAGGATGGAGCCACTCTTCTAGGCAACCATTGGGCATGAAGTCGAACACAATTGCTTTGAAGTCGTTTCCATTGAAGTCCATGCTTGAGCATGCTGTAACTATCTTAACAAGGTTCCGGTGTCTTAAGTTCTTCATCGCTTCACATTCCGCCGTGAAACTCTTAAGAGCCCCAGGTGTCTGAAGTTTCAATACTTTTACAGCGATAAGATTTTCATTCTCACCAGTTTCATCGAACAATTTACCTCTATAGACTGATCCATAGCTCCCAGTACCCAACAAATTGGTCGTCGAGAAGCCATCTGTTGCATGTACCAACTGCTGGTAGGAGACAAGTTGATGGGCTCGCATGGACATTGTTGAAGGACTTTTTGTTAATCTGTTCTTATACCAAGCATGGAAGAAAAGGAGCAATGAAAGGATACATATTGTTGTAGCAACAAGGGGAACAACAATCGCCAACCCTGGAACTCTATGCCTTCTCTTGGAAATCTTAAGAGAACATGTAGGCAAGTGAAGATCTGGAATGCCCCCACAAAGCTTGTTGTTCCCTTGGACCGAAATGCCAGTAGCATTTGCAAAAACACCAAACACTGGCACTTCACCGTCAAAGTTATTGTAAGAGAGGTTTAAATCATAGAGTGTGAGGAAGTGTCCAAAGAACTTTGGTATTTGGCCTGAAAAATTGTTACTAGAGAGGTCGAGAATTTCTAAACCCTTCATCTCACTAAAGGATGATGGGATATTACCAATAAATGAATTGTTTTGCAGATACAAAATCTGGAGAAGCTGGCATTTTTCGAAAGTAATAGGAATTTCCCCTGATAATTGATTATACCGGGCATCAAGGTATACAAGATTCGGTAGATTCCCAACTTCAGGTGGTATTGACCCGTCTAAGTGATTGTAGGAGATATCCAAATATATTGAGAGTGTTGTGATGTTGAATAAACTAGTTGGGATGGTACCTATAAAGTTATTAAACGAGAAACGTAGACTCGACAGTGAAACCATGTTTCCCACTGTTATTGGGATGCTACCACTAAAATTATTCCTTCCAAGGTCTAAAGAGTCCATATGAGTTAAATTGCATATAACACGAGGGAATGGCCCACTAAAGTAATTGTTATCTAGCCACAAAATTCTTAGGTTTTGAAGCATACCTAATGATGACGGTGGACTTCCAGTCAGAAAATTGTTATGTGCGACAAGTGCACCTAAATTGATTAGTTTGCCAATTTCTCTAGGCATGTTCCCTACAATTTTGTTGCTAGCTAGAGTGAGGATTGTTAGTGATGCGGATAAGTTGGAAATTACGGATGGAAGAGTTCCACTAAACTTATTGGCTTCCAATTCCAAAACTTCTAATTGGGAGCAATTTGTTAATGCTTTCATAAACTTCCAGTCGTTAGATTCTTTGGCTTCAAGATCATTTTCAGTGAGAATAAACCACTTGAGACCCTGTAACCCTCCTAACTCTGGAGGAATTACACCACTGAAGTGGTTTTCCGCGATCTGAAATCTAGAGAGTTTGGAGGCATTAACCAGTGATGATGGGATATGGCCATCAAACATATTCTCCCCCGCATCGAAAGTCTCGAGCATAGGAAGTGTGTTGAACACGTTCGGTGGTAGCATCCCACTGAGCTCATTGTTTTCTACAGAAAAATGTTTTAGGAATGATATGTTACAAATATTAGGAGGAATGGACCCTATCAGACCGTTAGCTTGTAGGAGAAGACTGGTAAGGTTGTTCAAGTGACCAAGAGAAGAAGGTATGCCACCAGATAATTGGTTATGTTGAATACCAAGAGCATTGAGCTGGGAAAGATTGCCCAAGGAAGCTGGAATCTCACCAAATAGCATGTTGAACCCTAGATTCAAGAAGTAAAGTGATGACAAGTTACCCAGGGATGGCGGGATCTCTCCCGACAGATTATTTGCACGAAGATTCAAGTACGCTAGATTCCTCAACGCGGCGATCTCACCCGGGATCTCACCACGGAGGTGGTTGGAGTCCAGGCTAAGGCTCTCGAGCTTGCTACATCCTATCGCCAACGCCGGTGGGATGCCCCCTTCTAGCGAGTTGCCAGAAAGGTTAAGCTCTCGGAGCCTACCGAGACGCCCCAGCTCGGGAGGAATCTGGCCAACCAGCTGGTTCGCCCCAAGGTCTAGCACACGCAGGAACGAGAGGTTACCCAAGAACGGCGAGATGAGCCCGGACAACGACGAGGAGCCGAGGCTTAGCGCGACGACGCTGCCCGCGTGCCGGCCGCGGCCGCACGCGACGCCACGCCACCTGCACGGGTGGTTGGAGGCGTTCCACCAGGTGAGCGCGCCGGATGGGTCGGACACCATGGACCTGAAGGAGAGCAGCGCGGCTGCCTGCTTGTCGGTGGCGTTTGTGCTGCTGCTGCTGCTCCCTACCGTGCATACCGCCGCAGGGGAATACAAAAGCAACGTGGAGCATAGCAAGATCACTAGAGCATTCATGCCTGTTTATGTTTTTCAGCGCCAATGGAACTGAAGGTGAGTGGGAGCTCAAGGGTGATTGGTATACGGGCAGAAAAATTGCTTGGAATTCACAGTATAAATAGAGATAGAAGCGCATGTAGGAGTAGCGACGAAAAGGGTTGGAAACAGTAGAAAACAATCTCAACTATTTCCATAACTGTTTTTCTAAAATGGAAATGGAGTTATACGGACCATATCTCTATTTCTACTATTTAAAAATAAGAGATGTTCCTATCATCTATCATCCGTGCGAAAAAAACGGGCAAAAAAAAATAAAAAAGAATCTGTCCGATTGAAAAAAAAGGAATGTGGCGAAAAAAAATTGGGTGAAAAAAAGAAAAAAAAAGAATCCGATTCCGTCGACGCGATAAAAAAAGGCGAAAAAAATAAAAAAAAGAATATGTCCGATTCAAAAAAAAATTATGTGACGCAGTAAAAAAAATTGAATTCTCTTATTCGTGACACGGTACTATATATCTCTATCTCTACTTAAAAAATAAAAAACATTTCTGTCGTCCGTAATAACGAAAAAGGGTGAAAAAACATTAAAACAAAAAAAGAAAGTCTGATTCAATTTACTTTAATCGTCTGTGAAAATCTTATTTTATCTTAATCTCAATCTTTCCGAGGGGACCGAGCGGCGCACTCCGTCCCCGCCCGCGCGATGAAACGCCGGCCAAAGCAAAAGAAAAAGAAACTGAAATTGAGCAAAGGGATAAACTAGATTGAAGTTCCCAAAATTAAAAGAGGATAAACGATATTGAAACTCCCGTAACTCAAAAAGAGGGAATAAAATAGATTGAAATTTCCCGACAAAATTCCCCAAATTCGAAGAACCCTAATTTCTGGTAAGAACCCTAAGAGTCAAAATCCAAACCAATTAATCTAAGGGTTCGGGTTACTTACCGGACTTGAAGCCCCTAAGCTCACCGGAGCTTTCTAGGAAGCGGCACCGCCGCACCTTCACCTCCTCGCAGTTGCGTCGGGTTCCCCGTGCGCGCGCTGTCCTGGAGCACCCTTCCACCGTCCCTTGCCGAAGACGGGAAGCGTCGGCTTGGCGTCACCCCTCCCACCGATGAGGTCCAGGCCGCTCGGCGCTCGTCGCCATTTGCGCGCCTGCCTAGCCGGACCGCCGACACTGTGGCATGGCTTTGTGCCGCCCTCGGGTGCGGCCCCCAGCCGGCAAAGCAGGAGCTGCTCGGCGGTCATCACCACACGCGCGCACCAGCTCGCCGGACCGCCATTGCCGCCTTTGTTGTCGTTCCGCTTGCTCGTCGCCGGAGAGAAATGGGATTGGGAGAGGGATTTGGGAGCTAGGGTTTTGCCCCTCTCTCCTGGTCGGCGCTTCATCCGGCACGGGGACGATCGGAGCCATCCATTAGATCGGAGATCCATCCATTAGATCGGACGGCTCAGATTCGCCCAGTGTTGGGCCACCACCGCTGCTGGTTACGCTGCGCCCAATGGGTTGCGGAAGTGCATCGGACCGTCCCCGCATATGTGGGCCGCGCTCTGCTGCTCGGCTTGTGGGCCTGTTGATGCGAAAAACACACACTGGCCTGGGAGATCTGCTTAACTCTAGTGCAGGTTCAAGATGTTGATGAGATGCGGGAGTGCCATTCAGTTTGATTCTGTAACTGACAAGATATACAAATAGCAGATCAATGAGCCGATCGGCTGGCAAGCCGATAGATTAATTCCAGCTGATGCCGATACTAGCCGATAGCAATAGGGTTTTGAGCTATCGGCTATGATTCTGATGTAGATTCTGACGCTTGATGTAAATAACAATATAAAGGCAATCGACTGATGATAATGTAAGAAAGCAACAATGTAATCCAATAGAAACCATTCGACTAACAATGATATGATAGAACAAGTATTGATCTGAAGGTTAAATGATACATCGGCTGGAGGTTCGATGTCATAAAATCCACAACATTAGATAAATCAATGAAATATTTGTTATCATCGGCTAAATCCAACTTATATATGCAGTCCTTATAAGCCGATGCAACATCCAGATAACTCATCGGTTGAAACCCCGATAAAACCCTTATTGGCAGTCAACAAGTAGGCTAGGGATTATGGTTCTAAGCACAACTTAGTAGATCAAACTTAACTAATACAACACTAAGTATGAAAAGAAACATAATATCTAGACGATCATGCCCTTGACGGATTTTTAGAGTGGTAGATGCCTTAGCTAATCTAATCTAGTAAAACAATTTAGCCGATACTGGCAGAAACCCTAAAGCGAGAGACAACCGATAGAGCTAAATTGAGTTACTAAGACTAGATTAACTAAGACATATGATAAATAGGCAGGCAAATATATCATCCAAACCAGAGCAATCCAAGAGGTTGAATGTACTGATGCAGCCTTGAACGACGCCGACGTAGACAATACAGGGGATTGCTAGTTGGCGCGCGCGCCAGCTACTCCCGGGCCTCCCAGCCCATCAGCCATTTTTTTCTTTTTTTTTCGCGATTTCTTCTTTATTTTTTCTTTTGTGTTTTTTTTTCGTTTTTTCTGATTACTTTTTTTAATCTTTAGCACACTTATTTTTTTCAAAATGTTTTGAGTTGAAAATTTTTAAATCTGATTTGAAAGTATTCAAATCTTGAGTTGAAAGTTTTCAAATTTGAGTGGAAAGTTTTCGAATCTCGAGTCGAAAGTTTTCGAATCTGAGTCGAAAGTTTTCGAATCTGAGTCGAAAGTTTTTGGATCGGAGTCAAGAGTTTTCAAATCTCAAGTTGAAAGTTTTTAAATCTGAGTCGAAAGTTCTCATATTTTTTTCAAATCTTAACTTAAAAAATTTTCAAATCTATACTTGAAAGTTTTCAAATCTCGAGTTGAAAGTTTTCAAAATTTGTCTTACACATTTAAATTTCGAGTTGAAAATTTTCAAATTAAGTTTTAAAAGTTTTTAAAATTTAACTTCAAAAGTTTTGATATCTAACTTGAAAGTTTTCAATCGGTTAGCAGAAAAAATCTTCCGGAAAAAAGGAAATCATATCTTAATTACCGTCATTATCTACTAATCACTTAATTAATTAGGCTAAACTATCGGAAACGCTCGCCGCCAACGCGCACGCGCGCGTTAGCTTTTCTGAACGATACAATTGCCTGGGCCGGTGGAACGTAGGACTTATCCCTTCGCAGGAGGTCGATTTAAAAAACAATTGTAAAGGTTTCACCTCGTGATCAAATATATTTGAAACAAACCTACAATACGTACATTGCTATCATCCGATTGCTGTCCGGCCGTGTTACGGCGTGGGCACAACTAACAGGCGCACAGCAATATTCATTACGGCCTGAATCATCTATCGTGTGTGAGACTTTCATCGCTGCTTTGATTGTATGCTGAAGTTGGATAGCAACATCGTATATGTATATTATTTTCAATTGGAGACTCAACTTACAACTCGTATGCATATATATTATGCAGGTACTCATGGTGATGGTGGCCGGCCATAGATGAAACCAAAAATTAGATGACAAACGGAAATGTAATTTAATCGAACTCTTTGATAGTATGCCAACGTATATAATTAGTGATGGAGAACAATGCTCGACGGAGCCACTTATATGGACAAAGAGGAGTCATGGATGGACTCGCGATGTACCAATCGGGCCTTCCCGAATCCCATCCTATCTGCTAACCCATATATGCGATATATATGATAGGACTAGTGTGAAAGACGAACGATGGATACGTATGAAAGATGGATGACGTACCAAGCCCCTAACAAAAACACTTTTAATTTTTATAATAGTAGAGATATAGAGGTGGAACTATAGAAACACCTTTAAATTTTATAATCGTAGAGATAGAGAGGTGGGACGGTATAAGCACTATAAATATTTTAAGTAGGTAAAGATAAAGATATTGGATAAATTAAATTGCAAGCTCACATATTTATATTAACATGACTATATAATATGGTCATAAAAATTCGCTTACACTATGTAAATCACAAAATTACCTATTCTTCAGCTATGTCCTTAAATTAGAGATTTGATCGAGAGATTAGTGGAACTCTAAACTATGGGCGAAACATAAACCATAGATGTTGTAATATTGTAAACGGTTCTACTAGCTAACTGTCGACAGCTTTCCTGAGTGAAAACTATTGAATTTTTTGGCCGTCGATTCCGCGCTAAGATTTGTGCTGAGATATTTTGCTATCGGATCTAAACCCTATTTTTCACAAGCTAGTCTCATCATCGCATGTTTATGGCAGATTTGTTTAAGTTACATCTAAGTTATATTCTAAGTACATGCTAGTTACATTGTAACTACACTAATAACTACATTGTTATCTCTATATAAATCTATTATATTATTAAGACAGCTCGAAAAGAAGCCACCACATTCGCTGTGGAGGCTAGAAATTCCCACAATAATCGAAGAAAAAGAAAAGAAGAGTCCAAGTAGAAATACAAACTAAAAAATAACTGAAATTCGGAATTAAAAATAAGCAATACTGAAATAGGAGTCCATATAAGAACCCAATACAAGATCAATTAAAACCTTTGGCAATTCTAGATTTTAACTGTTTACAGTAGAAAAGATAAGTCTATAGAACTGTGTACGTTACATACTAGGAGTCTTTGTCCTTTTCTGTTTCTTTGGCGGTGTACACAGTACACGTATAATCTAATTCAATTACAAACCTATACGGGCAAGAGTTGTGCTGCCAAATAAACAAAGCTTGCACTGCTGCACCTATATATTCTGTAGATTTCAAGCAGCAACGATTGGGCTGGAGCGGCAGAACCCAATGATAGCGGGAGCCGACCATAGTAAAAAGACATGATATTTACATAGACATTACAACAAACAGATCAATACTTGCAGCCGGCAATGCATCAAACACCAAAAGTTTCTTTGATATTCATGAAAGTACACATGATATCGACATATTGTAATTAGTGTATATTTTTCACAGGAGATGAATTAGTGCAAGCCGCTATAAACTGACAGTCAGATAAACGTTTAGATTATAGTGGATTCACAATTTAACGTTCATAATTTAACGGTTGAGATATA